GGGTTATTGACAGCAGCGATTCCAGAAAGTTCTGTAATTTTATTTGTCACATGACATGCATTGGTTAGGAGTATAGATGGAACTGAGTAGGTGCTAGGTGGCATAACTAAGTTACTTTTCGTTAAAGAAATTGGCACTAGATTACAACGATATTTTTGAGCATTATATCTCGGTTTTGTAGTGGGTCTATGCGAAGAGATTCGGACTGGAATTGAGTTCACCATTTCACTAGAGGGTGCATCATCATCATCTAGTTCATTTCCTGCTAAAAATGTCTTGGAGGAGTAATAAACACCCTTCTCAACCAGCGGGTGGGGATCTTGTCTTAGCGTCTTAGAGGTGTCATTGGGATCGACGCCAGAGGTGGTGGTAGGTATGGAAGTGGAGGTTGGTATGGGGATAATAGTGGGTACGAAGGGGGCAGGAAAGGGGGGTAATGAACTGACTGGAACGGGGAGAATGACGAAAATTGAGAGGAAAAGGGGGCCAATTAAAATTGGGTTTTTGAGGTTGTAATGAAGAGGCATGGTTTTCCGTATTTTGAGGATGACGTCTGATTGTAGGGTCATTGCCTTGGGTATGGAGGAAATCACAATTATTGCCTTTAAGGCAAAAGCCCTTCCTACGTACAAAAGGGCAGGGAACCAGATGTTTGGGGGTTTTAAATTTATCTAAATGATTAGGCGCTTGACTGATTACTGTGTTATTTTGCTGAATAATGTTCCTGCTTGCATTAAGATGACTTGCTTCGCACACTTCGTTAACTTCAATTGTATTCTGCTCATTATTTATCTCTTCTTCTGCAGTAGCAATACCTTTTTGCATATAATTAAGCGGATTTCCATCGTTTTTCTGATTTTTATCTATATTTTCTTGAAGGTTTGTAAGAACTTCGGTTATATGTACCAGAGAATCAGATAGTGCACGAATGGCTTCGGTATTGATAGCCTGTCCGGCCATAAGCGCTTCAGTATCCAAGCTGTTAGCATTACTTTTGTGAACACGGCCTTGCTGAGTATCAGTTTCGCTTGAGTTAGCTGAGTCGTTTACGACAACCACATCATTCTCGAGGTCGTTTACAGCGACATTTTCAGCGAAACTTTGACTGAGCATAGAGCAAAGAAGCTTCGTAATTGCATCCGCCTCTGCTCCTTCGAGATGTAGTAGGTTCTTGCTCCTTCTCCATTTGATTAAAATATTGTTCGATTTAAATACTTTCTGGTCGCCGCCTGGCTGCTCCCACACACCGTCAATATTTAGATCTTGACTTACGAAATACTTCAAGGATTCGTAGTCACCGTTCCAAGCAAGGCGTAGATTGTTTACTGGAGATGACATTATGCATTAATCGTATAATCACAAACGAAGAGGCGATAAAATGAGATTTCCAACTAGGCTGAAATAAACACGTCCGTCCGTTCACGTTCACTGTGCGTAACCATTAAAATTTCATTGGGGGTTCTATTTAAGACTTAGCCCCCATCTTTCTCACACGCTCCCCTACTCTCCGCTTTCTTTCCCGAGTCCCTTGGAATAAAATCACCTGCCGCCATCTTGTTTTGCAATTAGAAATTTGCACAAGATATATATGGAGGAAATATTTTTATGCCACTTCCCTTCAAAATTACCCCTCACCCAAAAGTTTGCTTTAGTTGAACGGCACATTTTTCGTTCGTTAATTATTTATTCTATTTTATCGCAGGGCGTCACAAAGTATTTTGATACAAAACCTAATAAAGGACGCAGTTGCATGTTATAAAGCAGAATATTTCATTAGCATACTGTATTAAGGTTGCATTTTCTGAAATAAAATACCTAGCTTTATACTGAGAATGTATGAATTGTATTGCTTGAATGAAATACCACAGATCCATGTCCACTCAATATAATGGACATGATCTGACATGCATGATTGATTTTGGGAAAAACATGCCTTGAGGATCTATGCTGCGTGTGATCGATTACCTACCGGCTTGTGTTTGCGTTTAAAGAACGCTTTTCACAGTGCATAATGGGAATTTTATCAAACTCGGTAAAAACGTTAAGGCTAACTTTTACACAAATGCGTTGCTTGTTAATGATTAAATGGAATACCGTTGCAAATGCTCTGGTTTTACATAGGAATGCTATTCAACACTATGGATGCTCCGCCATTTTACTCTGATCCTATCAGGCTAAAAACCAACTTTTCTGCATAGTAAATATAAGATGTTAATCCGTGGAGTCATTTTAGACTGACTGTTGCTTGTCAACACAAAAAACATTCGGTATAATAATTGATGATCATTCGATTAGAAATTTAGCGCAGCGATTCCTTTCAATAGAAACAATTACGTTTCCATTTTTGAGAAGCTAAACATTTTTTTTAAACACCCACAATTAGCTTGTAACTAATTGCTACCTGTGAACGTCTCAAAAATTTGAATTAGAAGGCTCCCACAAATAACATAATAAATTGCTTTCTAATTCGAATGGCGGGACAGAAATGGATCATTTCTGTAAAATTTTTAATGCTAAAGTATTTCAACAGGGAAATAAAACTAATTTTCCTGCTGATCAAAATACTTTGAGTTTTCTTTAAAGTGAATGCGTCTAGCGCTACGGCGTAAGTAACTAACTCCTCCTTTTCGGGAGACAATTACCTGTCATCCTTCGGCAAAATTCCATATACATTTACTGTTAAAGTTTTCTTTGAAGATGGCTTGAAACGTGAAACGTCACGCTTGTAATAATCTTCATGAACGAAAATAAAAAGTGTCACCGGATAGATCATGTGATGATTTAGCTTTCAAAATATACGGCATTAACGTTAATCTGAGGACTTGTGTTTCATGCGATGGTGTGGGCGGCCATATTGGATAATTAGAGTTAATTAACAAGTAATCTAATTTCGATTTTTATTTTTCTAATCAAATTTAAATTTCGATTTTTCGTAATTTGCCCTTAAAGAATCGATATTGCTAAGTCTTTATCGCGTAAATTTGAAATAAATGCTTTAAAAGGGTATATGGCCATGCACCCTGAATCAAGTGTTACGGCTTTTTTCCAATCATCGTAATGGAGAACTCGTAAGTTCGCAGTGGGGGTTTTCATTTCATTGGGAAATAAAATTGATTTCAAGTCAACTTTAATTACATGCAAGCCACTCGAGGAGAGCTGGCGAATAGGTTCTTGCGTGGTTAAATCATAGTCAGTAGGGATGTTTACATGAGCGCGGTTATTGAAATTTAACGAAGCGTAAAATGGACTTTGAGGTATTGAAATGAGTAAATAACATGATTCTGGTAGTCGTGTTATCATCCTAACAATAGCATGTCCAGGGGCGCCGGAATATCGATAATAACGGGGGCAGATATTCATATATTCGTGTTCTGCATTATTAACTCCTTTTGAAATCGATTGTTTTTACGATCTGCGAACACGAATATATGAATATCTGCCCCCGTTATTATCGATATTCCGGCGCCCCTGAGCATGTCAGCGTTTTCTTTCCAGAATTGTGTCACTTAGTACGTTATTCCAATACCCCAAACCGGGCTCATGTGAACAGCCCCTTAAATGAGAGTTCAGAAAGCACACTCGCAAATATATGCATCCAATGCCAATGGGCTGTTTTTGAGGTTGAACATTTTATTTGCCGAACCCAACATCAATGAGCTACAATCTTTACGTTTTTTTGGTGCAAACGATTCAGCACACGAAATTCAAGTTATATATGCTGACAAAAGCTGTCATATAGTGAACGTCAAGTCGAGATCTTGCGAGCTGGCTTTAAAAGAGGCGAACATTGGTGAAGCAAATAAGATTTGGAATGTTTTCAAACTTACACAATTACGGCGGTAATACCAAGGAGACAAGAAATAGGTGATTTATAAACAGGACGTACATACTTACCGAAGCGTGCCATCTTTTCCCTTAACTTTATTTTTACACAGATCAACGCTTGTTAAATCAGTTATCGTGTTACACCTGAAACATGATGACAATAACTAAGATTAGGCTAGAACTTAGGCTAAAACTAAGGAGTAAGGTACAGTAAGAATTCAGACAGATCAACAATTTTATGACGAGAAGTAATCGAGTGCTCTAAATCACAAACTCAGGCATTCAAGTGCCACCAAAGGCAAAGTAAAAACGACTGATATATTTTGTCATTTATATATACTCACCTTAATTCGGGTCAATGCTCAAACAAAAGCTTTCTTTTACAATTTTTCTTCGTCCACAATGATGTGCTTGGCACATGCAACGGCTTTCACGTTTCAACTTTCAAATCTGCCACGCAAATGCTTAAGCACCGCTGCATGGCTTAATTCTTTAGCAAAATTCAAGCATTGATTGGTTGGCCATAAACAAAAGGATGATTACGCTTATAGCATACGAAATTATATCGACGAAATGAATAAAAAGAATAAGAATTGGCTTGAATATTAAATGCTTTATAGTGTCAGCTTCCCGCTAAATGAAGCTCGGCTTTTAACCGAGGTTTTAAAAGGACGCAATATACATGTATACCGTATACGTGCATGCACAACTGGCCGGGCCCTTTGTATTTGTGAGTTAACTAGGAATTAACTATATGCAAATGTAGTTAAAGAGTTATGCAACCGGCCATTGACGTTATAAAATACAGCCTTTGTATTGAAAAAAGCAGTATACTGACTGCAATTGCTTTATCTATTATCATAAGTTAATTGGTTATGTACAAAATTGGACTCGGCTCGTGGCAAAATTTTTGTTCTAACCACGCTTTTGTTCCACCTGTGCATACATTACTGAACAGACAAAGGTCAAATGTAACCTTGTACACGTCTGTGGTAAAATATCAAATAGGATATTCGATTGTTAATAATGTGAAGTCAACATAACGAAACGAATAAATGTGTTCAAGAATATCAACTATGAGAATAATAGTTGTTAAATGTTTGTGATATACACCATGTAATTCATACAAACACTTAACAACTATTTAACAACACCATTCTAAGAACATATGAGAATAATGATAATCTAATTGCTAAAAATGCTAACGATCTATTATTTTCTATAATTATCGGATAAAATAATATTTCACTGCATGGAAAATTGTTGGAGTGAGATATATTATTTACAAGGTAAGCGTGAGCGAGGCATTTTCTTCTACTTGGCGCTGAGGAAATCAATTATTTCTTTTAAATTTATATTTGGCGTCCTCAAGCTTCCCTCAGACCCGTAAGGGAATAGAATGTGTTTTAAACTCCACCGGCGATGATTGTCTTTCATTCACCTATGAGAGGAATAAGCAAAAACAGTTTATTTGATAGTTATTTCTGTGTAGTTATTATACTCACAAAATCGTTCGATTAAATGCACTTACCTTTGGTTCAAGAGGTTTTCTCAAGTAATGTTGAGGACTCGGCGTATTACTGAATGAATTCCCAGGACTATTGCTTTGAAAATTTTCTTTACCTGCAAAAGCAACGGGCAGTTTAGCTATTACGGTAAAAAAATAGGCCTTTCGAAAGGGTAGTGTGGCAGCTCCTCGCAAGAATGATCTTCATTGACTACTGAAGCTTACAATACATTTCTGTTTCAACCAATAGCATAGCTTCGTTCTTTAGAAAGCATAGAGAAGCATTATCCAATTGGATGAAAGCTTCCGAGCATGTCCCTTTCAAAATATATAAATATATATAGATTTCAGCTTCAATAATAATTAACCCTCGTACCCAGGGTCTCCTTTACCTACGGCGAAGCTAGATCATGGTATAGGTAAAAATATTCTATTCGCTGGATAGCGCTATCCAGCTTTCGTACAACCGGCCCCCATATATACATGCAAGGATCACCGCATGTTTAAAGGCGGTTTTGGAAAAGTTTTTAGGCAGACGATTGAGAGTAGTTCCATGTACAAATGGCAGTAATAATTTCACTAAGGAGACTAATAACGTGAACCTAGCTCTCTAGGTATAGGTATATAGGTATATAGTTAAGCGGCAGTTGATTCTGATACCCACCAGGTGAAGCAGCTGCCAGCCTAGATTTGGCGAACTTGCTTTTTAATGCGTCAGCGATAATCGAAGCGGGATCAGCAGCCTTGGTTTTCCGAGGAGGTCTTCTGATTGGCGTACCGCCCGGGGACCTTAGTAAAACACAACACGAAATAATTTGAATTGTTATGTAATTTAGGTGCTATGTATTTTAAATGTAATTGGTTCATTTGTAGTCACATGACTTTAAACAAGTGTAATTTTTCCCGCCAGGGAAACAAGTGAAAAATTGTTGCCCGCTTCTTGTCATAACAAAGTAAAATATTTTTTAAATGAAATTGTTGTGTAACAGGATGTATGTTTTTGTTCCTATATAACAAAGAACTTAATGTACACTAACTAACTAACTAAAGCAACTAAGATTTTACTATGCAAAGTGCAGTTAAAGAGTTTTATACAACCGGCCATGATTATTTATATATATGCAAAGCATATCGCGACTTCTAGTTAAAAGAACGGTTGGCAGGATTATTCAAGGAATTTAAACATTCAATTGCTATAGTTATCAATCATTAATTTGTCTTTTAAGAAACTGGGAAATTTCAGGGTACCTACTGCCTTAGTGGGGGAGGGGTGGGCATCTTTTTCCCAGTTAAGTGTAGATATGGTTCCAACCAGTTGAAAACTAATTCTCACTAACTGATACATAAACTAAACATGCCAACCCCTAGCTAGCATGAAAATTGTGTTTACCAATGTTATATCTAGTAAACTTTTATTTAAGTCAATTACCTTTCAACCGCTTTCAGCTTTACTTGATTCAGATCTTTTAAAATTGCCGTCATATCGAGCATGTTTCCATTTACAGCAGAGGGAGGTTTACCAATTTTCTTAATTTGGCGGAGGAAAAGAATAGAGATTGTAAAACATCGAATGTATATAATTAGTACACTAGAATACCAGATTCAACAAAGTGAAACAAAACATGTGATGTTGGTCAAGTAGATCCTTACCTTTTTAGGAGTTTGTGATACTGCTCTAGTGGTGGGCAAAGGAGGTGGTGGTGGAGGTAATGGAGGTGGGGCAGGGGGTAATACCATACCTACATGATGATAACATAATTCATATCAATTGAATGTCAACCATTTTTAATATTTAGAATATCAGATAACATTCTATTATTCCTTTGCACGGGGGTCAACCATTTAAAACCGTGTGCAATTACATGTTGTTATGGAGACAAAGATGCATTTTTACATCATACTTGTGGTTTCTGAATTGTCTTCTTGTTTCAGGACAAATCCAGCGATTTGTGCTCTCAATCTGCTTAATTCATCTTCCAATGCAGTGATTTTCCTAACTGCATCATCTGATACAACCATTGAGTTCTGATAAGTATTCTCATGGCAGCTTTCATTGATGGTATCCCAAGCAATGGAGCAGCTTTCAGGACTGATTGTGTTTCTGCAGGGTGTACTATGGATAAATTGAGCAGTGTGGATATTCTTCACGCCCCTGGTATATGTCTCGGTTGCCTGTTTGTGGAGCATCTTGAAAATGAAAGGTAGAATTGATTTCAATATAAACTGGATTTATCTGTTCAAGAGATTTGACCAATTCATACAGCATATGACTTTTGATTGGGATGAAAAGTGAATCCTAATTTGACCCAAACCCCATATACCCCCAAACCCCTATTTTGAGGTATCCATATGGTGCACTAATGTGTACCAACAAGCTTCAGGTGTCTATAATTGCTAGTTTTTAAGCAGTGCACAAGCATGTTGTTGAAATTTTAAGCAGAGTAAAAATTATATTGAAAAGTTCAGTTCAGCACAACTCTCGTTTTTTCAACGTCTTTTATAACAATAAACACACTGTATGCTGCAGAAATTGCATGGCTGGCTATATGTATAGAATATTACAAAACTCACATAGAAATATGGCCGTTTTCCTGGTTGTATTGGCAACCTATTTCCGATTTCTCGTATCAGACTTTTTCTGGCTAAAACCGACTCCATTATCGTTCTGTAGTGGTATAAAAACGGATCAAATGCCAAACCACGAGGAAGGTGGTCGCCCAAATAACGCACGATACTCTTGTTTTGCCCGTCTCGCCGAAGACAGATCGGCTGCCATCGCTTAGAGATAAGAAAATAAAATGTTAGAAGGCATACTAAGAATTCTGGGCGCTGCATATAGACTAAATAAAGCTTGAAAGTGGAGCTTCGAAATCTGCGACCAAAATATTTGCTAAATATCATGCGTGGATTAGGTTGATATTAAAACACAAGCGAACGACATAATTACCACAAATACATTCTCGCCTTCCTCTGTGTGACATAACCTGTGAAAAATCTCAGCCACATGCGCTAAAATTTGAGCAATTTCCTCGCGAATGTTGATATCACCCTCGGGTTCCATTTTGTAAAGATGTTTCAGAACCGTTTGGAAATTGAAAAGAACGTCGAGGCATTTAAATATTTCCACCAATTAGATGCCGATTTGGAAACTGTCGACCAATCACATTTCAAAGCGGCTCATTCAATTTTTCAAATGTATCGTTTTAAATTACACAAAGAACAGTCATTCAGACGATTCAGTTGAAACGTGTTGCGATTCATTGTCCGGTTATTTTGCTAAAATACTGCGTCTAAATAAATAATATGGAAGCAATAGCGTTAGTAGAACATTTGAAAGAGTTATCTGATAATCCACAAAACAGATCAACGATTGTAAAGGTAAAGAAATAATATAAATTTGCATTCAGTTCAAACTTGCAAGTCGCTGTCCCATGGCGTGTATATACACATAATATAAAATATCTGTTAAAAAGTGTAACGTTTGGTATTTTTATTTCAAACCTCGAACTACAGTTTATCACTCTGGGGTATATGAAATTAATAGGGGTACTATTTTAATGTTTCATATAGGGTATATAGAAGTAACCTCGGAAGTAACCATAGCTGTCTTCCATGGCTACCCTTTAATACTGTTAATTATATGATCTGAGATCTATGTGGAAATGAATTTATTAAATGGGAAATTTATGGTGCATTACAAGCAGCTGGGTTTATTAGGGTGAATTGCCACTAAGTCTTCAGTCTAATTCACAACACAGTTTATGGGTTCATTGGGTGCATTGCCACCAATGGTTTAGTCTAGTGGCATGACTCAATTTAATGTTTTGAAGGAGAGTTAAAGCAGGTTCTGTGTGTGCATTGGTATTCCTGAAGTTACAATGGCAGACCTCGTGATATTAAAATTGTCTTATAAAATTTCTAGAATTTTTCAAAACAAGCCTCATCTGATATTCATTTAGCAGTAGTGTGAACTAAAATAGATTAAGTATTCTTACAATATTGGATAATATTTATAAAGCAGTTCAAATGCAACACATAGAAGCTTGTTGATTTACTTATTTCTACATATTCTCACCAACTTTAGTTATTCCTTGCAGGATAAAGGATGTCTAGCAGGTCTTGTTTTATTCCTGGATAACAATGAGGCTCGAGTTGTGACGACTGCTCTTCAGGTATGGAACCTTAGAATAAAGCAATTGCCAAGAACCCATATGTAATCATTTGATCACCATAATATACTTGGTTAAGATATGTTCCAGTGTTTATCAAAAAGTCTGAATTATAAACCTCATTACATATATAGCACTTTTACTATACACTGAAGTCAATAGAACCCAGCCAATCTGAACCTTTGAAATTCTCTGTACCATTTTAAAACAATTTTTGGCTGCACTAGCAGCCATCTTTTCTTCAACAAAACTGTCTGAATAATGGTAGGATCCAAGTCCAACATAGGCATTCTTCATGACATAGGAATCATATCTCAAGATCCTAAGAATATAAGATATCTACAAGGTATCAAGACCATAAGATATCATTCCTTAGTCAGTTTATATGGCCACAAATAAAATACTCTTTAAAATAATCTTGGAGACACCATATGTTGCAATTATATGGACATTTAAGAATTCCTTGTGGGGACTCTGAAATTCCTTAGTTTTCCGTACTCTTCTTATATGATGGGTGGAGTTCTTATTGAACTTGAATTCTGGCTTTTAAGGAAAAGTTTGTAGTTGCAAGCACACAAGTATTTTCAAGACCTGGCATAAAATAACGTATACATATATTTAAAATCTTCGCCTGTAATTATTTTTAATACGAGATTTCTGACTTTAAGTGATAATAATTTCAACTTTGAAAGAATAAATGTAATGATTAGACTTATTATAAACGTATCAAAAAGTCTACAACACGAAGTATTCCCAGGCGGTCACCCATCCAAGTACTAACTTCGCCCGACCAGGCTTATCTTCGGTGATCGAACGAGAACCGGAGTTTTACTGGTGGTATGGTCGTAGACACCTACATTTGAAAATTAGGGTATATAAAGGTCCGTTTACACGTGCCATTTTACTGCGATTTTCTTCTTTTGATAAATGCGAACGAGTGGACAGTTATGATTGCACTAAAGTATACGTGTCCTATACCTGCAAACCCGTAACTTATCCACTCGTTCACATCTCTCAAAAGAGGAAAATCGTTCGATTTTGGATTCTATTCACCGATATTTAATCCGTAAGCACGATATATATCTGAACTGTTCGAACTATTTGTAAAATTCACACAGAAAATAGACGTGTTTAAAACTTTTCATTATGTTGCAATTAAATAAACTCGGTAGGTATACCATAAGTCTGAGTTTTGTCGATTTTAGTCTTAAATTAAAATCAAAAAGTCTACAACACGAAGTATTCCCAGGCGGTCACCCATCCAAGTACTAACTTCGCCCGACCAAGCTTATCTTCGGTGATCGAACGAGAACCGGAGTTTTACTGGTGGTATGGTCGTAGACACCTAAATTGGAAAATTAGCGTATATAATGGTCCGTTTATACGTGCTATTTTACTGCAATTTTCCTCTTTCTACAGATGCGAACGAGTGGACATTTGTGATTTTGCTAATATGTACGTATAAAGTACCCTTTTATACTCACAAACAACCCGTAACGTATCCACTCGTTCGCATCTATCAAAAGAGAAAAAATCGGACGATTTTGGATTTTATTCTCAACATAGATGTATTTAATACTTTTTAAATGTTGCAATTAAATGAATTCGGCGGGTATATCAATAAATCTAAGTGTGTATAGTTTTCAGTGTGAAAGTCAAGGACAAAAAGTCTACAACACGAAGTATTCCCAGGCGGTCACCCATCCAAGTACTAACTTCGCCCGACCAGGCTTATCTTCGGTGATCGAACGAGAACCGGAGTTTTACTGGTGGTGTGGTCGTAGACACCTAAATTTGAAAATTACGCTCTATGTAGTTTGGGATTATATAAAATTACGCTATAAATTGCTATAAACACCAGAAAAAAGCTAAAAATGCAAGAAGGTCAGTGTTCATATGGACTATGCACCCCATATGGACTATTTGTTTAGTTGCATGCCATCGAGCGCATTTTTTAGTTCAGCGACTGTTATATCTCCTTCGCATGATTCTCTTTCCTCGTCTGTGAGTGTTCGGGTTTCTACATCAAGGAGTTGTTTTTGTGCTTGCTCGTCTATTTGCTCTGCTGTGTATAGCGATTTGTAGAAAGCGTGTACTTCCTTAAGTATATCCTGTTGTTCTGTAATCGTTTCATTATTGTCTTTGGTCAGGATTTTAATTGTTTGCTCCGCTTGTCGCCGTTTTTCTAGCGAATAAAAATAGCGTGTGCTTTTTTCGCCCTTTTCCGTATATTCCGCCTTTGTTCTGATTTTTACACCTTCAAGCTCGCGCAGATCTAATTGTTTCAGCTCGTTTTTCGCCGCAAGATATTGTGTGACGTCTTCGTCCTTTCCTGTCATGGTCGCTGTTTGTTGGAGTCTTTTGACTCTCTGTTCTAAGATGTTACGCTCTTGTCGTTCTCTTTTTCGCTCTAATGTGCTGTGTTTTATGGCTATTTCTTTAAATTTTTGTTTCGCTTTGTCCCACCATGCTAGAGGGTTTGGGTAGTTGTCAATTTGCGTGTTCCATTCGGTCCAGAATTCTTTGATTTCCTCATTAAATTGTGCGTTTGACAGTAAGGTGTTGTTGAAGTGCCAATATCCGTTGCCTCTAGTGAGTTTTTCTAGGTCTAGCGTAATTAACGTCGCATCGTGATCTGAGTGTTGGAATGGTTTAATCTCTGTGTGTGTTACGTTTCGGTCTAACGTTTTGCTGATAAGTATTCTGTCAATTCGTGTTCTGTTTGTGCGGTTTTTAACGCGGTCATGAAGGCCTGCCCAGGTGTATTCGCGTTTGGTAGGGTTTCTTTGACGCCATATGTCAGTTAGGTTGAGTTTTGTCATAAGGTTTTGTAGTACTATCCTAGCAGTTTGCCTCGCAATAGGTGGTGCGTCTGGTAGTCTGTCATATGCCGAAAGAGCTAAGTTCGTGTCACCTCCAATGACGTTGCTATGGTCTGTTGAGGTGTATTGTTCTAAGTCTAAATAAAATTGTCTCCGTTCAATGTCGGTCCCGGGTGCGTAAACGTTTACTAGGTTGAGTTGTAGTTCGTCAATTTCGAGCAAAGCCGAAATGACGCGTCCGTCTCTGTCTTTTTTTGTGAAAGCGATGTTACAGTCGAGACGTGGGTTAAGCAGGATTGCAGTGCCGCGTGCGTTGGCTGTGCCATTGCTAAAGAGTATGTTATGTCCCCAGTCTTTCCGTATGTCGTCTTCAAGTTCGTTTGTCCAGTGTGTTTCTTGTAAGAAAATAACGTCGTATTTGTGCCGTTTAAAAAAGTTAAAGGCTGTTTTTCGTCTGTTTGTCTGTCGTAGTCCTTGTGCATTTACAGTTATAATACTAAACATTATACTAATTAATAAGGAATTGAAATATATTGTCTTAATATTGAATGTTAAAATTACCTATTACCAGAAAGTTCTTGTCTCTTCTTCATGTGGTTGTTTTCTCCATTCTGTTGTGCTTGGATTTTTTGGCGTTGCCTGTTCCTTCGTCCGTTGATGTACCGGTCGTTCTCCGAATCGGTGTTGTCTGTGGAGTGCGGCCGTTTCAATTGCGATTCGTTCGGTGCTGGTGGGGTAACTGAGGGTGTGTGATTGTCCGTTTCCATTTCTTCTTTTTCGTTTGCTTTCTCGGTTTGTTCTTGTTGTTCCGTTTCTTTGGGTTGTTCGTCATTTTCTGTGCGTTTCTCTTCGGCTTCGGTTTGGTCTTGAGGTTTGGCGGTTTCCATGTTTTTCGTAGGACAATCTATCGCGATGTGCCCAAGGATATTGCAGCGTCGGCATTCGGTGTGCGCACATTTTCTTCGGCTGTGGCCGAACTCTTTACAGGTTGCGCAGTATGGCTGCTGTCCCGAGTGGATAACTTTGCACCATTCGCTGTCTATTCGAAGAGAATAGGGGATTGATGGTTGTGCGAGGACCATCCTCACAAGGCGGTTTCCGTTCTCAATACCGGCCAGTTCGTGTCCGCTTTTGTATTTTAGTCGTACGATTGGCCCCTTTATTTCTCCATACGAGGATAAAACTTTTACTATGTCTTCGTCTGCGATATATGCACGAAGGCCGAGAAGGGAGACATTTGTGTAGTAGCCTTTCGGCGGATTGCATGACACGTGAGATGACCCCAACTCGAAGCCGTGCTCGATCAGAATTTCAGCGTGATCCTTTCCGTTTAACTCAGCCAGGTATTCGCCAGGGCGAAGTTCTTGTAGGACAACAATGCATCCTTGACATGTTTCTTCTTCAATCGCTCTTTTTATGCTCCCCAATGAAGCGTTTTCGATAGTTTTGAATACAATGCTGCGGCGTTTCCTGTCGTCTGCCATTGGCATACCGCGCGGTAAAATTTGCCAGGCAAAATTTGATAAAGTTATTGGGGATAACCCCGCTTAAACCAGATCAGTACCTTCCGAATGTTCTTAAAAAAGATATTTTTGAGTCTATTTGCTATACCAGTCGATAAAATCGCCCAAAACCAGAGAAGTTAGCGCTCGCGTAGAACGAGAACCGGTGTCTTACTGGTGGTGTGGTCGTAGACACCTAAATTTGAAAATTACGCTCTATGTAGTTTGGGATTATATAAAATTACGCTATAAATTGCTATAAACACCAGAAAAAAGCTAAAAATGCAAGAAGGTCAGTGTTCATATGGACTATGCACCCCCCAATAATTTGACCATGATCCTACCATAGAGATATCTATGGAACCTACCCGTGATTTTCGGAACATATGAAGTATCGTTTTCATGTTCTTAGACTTGAAGTGAGTTAATTCATATGACAGCATTTGCTAAGAGAAAATATTTAAAATGGTACCAGCAAAAAAATGACAAAATCAAGGCCATGCAAGGGCTGAAGGGCGAGAGTTGTAGAGATTCGTTAACAAAACTTACCTTTACCTGGAGAATATATGCAGCTAGTCTTACAACGTGTCCAATCTACTTCTTGTTTGCCAGCTCTAGTATTACGGCTGATCAAACCACGGTGGTGCGTGTTGATTTACCAGAAATTCTTTGGGTGTTGGTATTAATTCTGCACAGTCGGTTGCATCTGCGGATGAACGGCCAATTGAAAAAATATCTGAAATTGAGCAAAACATACCCATGACCATGTAACTGGTCAAACAATGAACAATTCAAAAAGGATAATAGTTTACGACTTGCATGTTAGTAAATATTTTTTCCAGGACTCTAAGTCAAGTGCACTGCACTTGTTGTAGTGAAAATTTTTTCCTTTTTCTCGGGTGAACAGTTCAATGACAATGGTTGGTTGCTTAGAACTATTAACTAGGTTTTTGGTTGTCAAACTCAAATCGACGAGTTATAAGATTCTGATTTCTGCCAATCTTTGTCACAGGCTTTGAAGAATCTGGCACAACACAAGCCAAATAGAAGCATCATGAAGAATGAGTTGGGAATGTTAGAAAGTTTGAGAGCCATCATGCACAGGTATTACCTTCATTGTATGTTGATTGTGATTAATCTTTTGGTTAGGGTGTGACTCAGTTCCATCATCTACTCTAGTTATTTTCTAATAAAATCTTGGCTAAGTGGCAGTCATCGAAGCAGTTAACTAGAACTGAAATGCTAGAATATCTATAGTTTCAGAATATCTTTTTAAAACAAATTTCCGTTCCTTATGTTTTTTAACCTATGATCAGAACCTGAGACCTTACGCGATATCTACTCTATGTATAGAAATGGTGACGCAAGGACCAAGCAATTAGCAACAGACGTTTACGATGCTTTAAACCAATCACAAGAACAGACCTCGCGCAGGTCAAGTAGCACCTCAAGGTAACCTTTAAATATGAACTGACAAATTGTACTGTTAAACAAGTTTAAATTTTAAGTGGCGCAAATACAGAATGGCCAGTTCCCCGTGGTGGAAATAATGTTCAATTATTAAAAATACCAACCGCTGACAACTTTATACATACCAACAAGCCTCGTATTTTTCTCCAATATCGTCTTCTATCTTCAAACCCATAGTCGTCAATCAACGGTGCTAGGCAGTGCCACTCGACGATCTAAAACGTACATCATTCAAATCAAAGGCCTTTCAAACCAGGTACGATATAAAAACAATTACAATGACATAATTAAATTTTACCGCATTGTCGTACATACTCGCAATTGGATGAAATTGAGACTACAACACTGGATGTAATTTAGGAATGGCTTAGTCAACAGAGTCCTCATAGTTTCCTGATGAAAATCAAACAAGACAGTGATCGTCTTTGACAAAGCTGTAGGGACTATGACATGCAACCATGCATTGTCCTTCGCGAGCAGTTTGTTATATAAATAGTTCAAAAAACTCTGTTGAAAAACTTGAAGTGTAATCTTTATTTTCAGATAACCAAGAGACTTTGTGAAGAGCAGTTACTAACCGTCCGTGGTATGGTCAGCTTCACATTTGATTTGGCAAAATCTCGATGCATCGTGCGTGCGCGACCTGAGACCACTGCAGAAACAATATGCATGGCTATCAGTAAAACTAAAGTGCTTTCTGCTCAACAAATTGTCAAGAACGAACGAGGGGAAGAGGTAATGTTATATCCTGCATTGAGTATATTTGACTTTCACAACTCCTCTTCGTAGAGATCGTTCTCCCAAAGATCGAGGTTCCCTTTTTTGGACTATTACTACCAGAGGAAATAACATTTCCACGTTTCCATCGAGTTCCTATTACATGGGAGTTATTTGTTATTGTAGGAAACTACAGTATATTCCTATGGTACCGTAGCCCGTCTTAGAAAAACATATTGCATAAAAAACAACGAATTCAGGCCTTATTTATGGGGTTATTTCTTCTCAACCTAGGTGACTGTGTCTTTCAAGTCCGGCAGTCAAAACAAAAGTAGTGTTCAAGACAACAGCGCAAATCTACCAGATTACCTTCCCGAAGAAGACGAAATTCCCGGGTCCAAAACGGTACGTTATCTGGTAGACCTCTTGTTGAGAGATTTCCTATGGGGGGGGGGGGGAGAGGGTGGACTCTAAAATTAGCTAAAATTATAAGAATTAGTTGTAGTAAACGGGTAAAGGACAGAGCAAAAAGAAGGGTAAAACTTAAGACTAGTCGAGTTCAAATCATTCGCAAATCAGTTTTAAAATGCAGATAAATGTATTCCAGAGAGTCCGAGGTTAAATAGTTCATATCCTTTGAAAGTATGAAAATCAAGTATCGGTGTATCATTTTTCTACCTTAATAGGGAAATATATGGAGAAATATATTTTCTACCTTAATAAAGAAATATATGTTTTCAGGCGTTAGCACGAGTTAAAAAGAATGATGACAAAGAAAATCAAGGATGGTTTGGTTCCGTTGGTAGTTTCATCAGCAAAACCTTATACTGGTGAAATACACATGCTGTACATACCTTGCTTTAGTACCGTGCTTATTGCGATGGTTCAGAACTTATGAAGATGCATTTTAAAACAAATGAACAAACTTACTGATCTCTCAACTGAAAAGATGATACAGCTTTATTTTCATCCCCATGGTTTTTTCAGTAATCCTTCTCGGGTGGCCAGCACAAAGAATGACGGTCGACTCTTTTCGTAGAAACAAATCTCACTTCGGTTTTAACAAATATCATGCATTTTTTATATACATTTATGCTGGCTGATACCACCTTGTAGGAGGGATTACGGTATAAAACCGTATAGATGAATTCACAAAGAGTTTAAATCTGAACTTCACTCTGAAGCTTGCCAAAACGTTGCCAAGTCAATTGCCCAATTTAATAAATCTATTCTTTAATCTATAATAAACCTTAAAACTTGGCAAGAAATTGGTAAGTTTGAGAGCGAAATTGGCAGAAATTAAAGCTTGGAATTTCTTAACTTTTTTCCATGTTTAACTGAAATTGTAAATATTTTTTATAAATATATATGTCTACATTTGAATGTGTTTTCTGAAAGTTTTGTTTCTATTTGTTTGGAATTCCCTATTGTCGTTTACCTGGTCGTTGTTTGAATATTCGAATCTTGTTTTTATGTATAGAAAAGTGACCAAATTCAACAGCTTCGTACCCAGGGTCTTTACTCATGGGGAGAAAAGACCATGGATACGAGGTTGCAAACTCTACAGTTACAAAAACCACAACAACTCCATAATTTAGCTATCACTATCGAAGTGAACGTATCTTTTTATTGTGGGGATTCATTTCCTCACTCCGTTTACGTTTTTCGTATTCTTCAGGTATATCTGAAAAAAGCAAGTAATTAGCACATCAGGGCCTGGTTGTAACAAAGGCTGCATAGCGGTATCAACCGAATAGTGATTTTTTTCAAACCGTAACTATAACAATGCTCGAATAGGGATGAAATTTGAATGAGTATTTCCTGGACAATAGACACTTCACGAATTGGTGCTCGGGCAATAAAACCATCCCACAAACAGTAGATTGCATTTCTCGTTTCCAAGCTATTGTTTTGCCGTGCATGCTCTCAAGCAAATTTGGGAAGTGTCTAGAAGTTAATTTTGATTAAAATTTGATTGAAACCACAGATAAAAATTTAATCCAACAACCACCATGGTGAGATGAGATCTGCAGATCTCAGACATATTTGTTAATTTTATTGGTCAAAAAGTGTTATAACAACCCGAGGTTAACGCCAATTTGGCGTCCTGGGGCTAGTTGTTCAAAGCTAGGTTAGCGCTAACCCTAGGTTAAATTTTCAACCCAGTGTTTTTGTTAATGTGCTTCGGAACCGCTGTTCGTTTTAAAACTTTAGAAAATATGACTTCTATCCGTCCAGAAAATATTCATGAAAAAATAAATTCAACTTTATAAACAAGCGATTAAAAAAATTAATTTAAAAATTTGCTTTAATGCAAGGTTAAACTAACCGGCTTTTGAACAATCGGCCCCTGTTTAATTGCGAACAATGCATTTTGAAAATGTACAATACTGACCTTCCCCGGTGATATCCGAGTATTTTTGAATATACGTTTTCCTGTATCGTTCTGGAAGATGTGGCGTAAAGCCTACATGAAAAACCGAAATTTAGGTTAACATAATTTCTATTTACAGGCGTCAGATTCTCTCCATTTTAAGATTCTCCATCAGCAGCTATATACGCGGCAGAAAATTTTAAAATTAAATGTTCATGTACTTTATACTATACCTAGGTATAACTCGTAGTATTTTTTCTCAGCCAACAGAACAGTTACCATACAAACCAGAAGCGGCTCAAACTCGTTTTCCTGTTGAAAATACAATAGAACATGTAACAACAAGTAATAGATAGCTGCTGCAAAGTTACTGAAAACCAACAAGCTAAATATTAAAAAACAATACAACAATAACAATTATAAAAACCTTTTTAAACTGTTTAATAGCATCCGTCACTTCTTTATACTTCTCTGCCCCAAGAACTTCGTAAAGCTTTAAATTTGGAAAAGATAGTTTTGAAATTTTTGAAAAAAAGTCTCAAGTTTTAAATGCATAGGCGGATAGGCCTATATACTTTATTTACCGTTTCCTTTTACAAACCTTTGTGAGGAATGCTTTGACAACTTGGTCTTTGCTTTTGGCAGGTGCTTTTTCCTAAGTAATTCCAGAAAAAAAGGGTTTATTCTTAGATGATGCTGAGTCTGAAGATGTAAAGTCGGTTTTGAGCTGCACACCTGCTGACATAACAAATTAAGCAAAACCCCAGGCGTTGCGACATAGCCGTTGAAACATTAATAGAAAATATGCGCAGAAGAAACACTATCATCATTTTTAATTACACTATAATCATCTTGCTTCGACAGATGAATTGTGTAAAAAAATGGCGACGCTTTTTTGGCGATGTATTTTCGGCTTCGACCTTCAATGGTGGCCTTCAAGTTGGCTTCAAAGATGGCGACCGAGTTATTCGTTCTAGTCTACTTAGAGTTCATTGGCTAAATACCTTCTCCGCTTCAACCGTTTGAGGCTCTGACTCAGGACGAGTAATCTGCAGAAAAAATAAGTAACCCCAGTTTTAAACTGAAAAAGATTCACGTGAAAATATAGATTTTAAAAGAAATGCAAAAAACAACAATGACCGTTTCCTCTGCAATATTTTCAGGTTGAGATCTACGGACAATCTACAAATGAAATGCAACAGTTACATTTAAAATGTTTAAAAATACGCTCTTAAAAAAACTCTTTTCACTTATGTGCAGAGAACGTAATACAAATTTCAAAGAAGATATAAACAACGTGTGTTTATATTATGTTGCGCCGCAATGCATTATGGAGTGGCATGATAGCGATAGGCAAATAAAAATTTAATTAATTTCATTTTAATAATGAAATGTCTTATAAAACTTTTACTAAAACTATTCATTGTAGTTTAATTTTTGCTTTATTTTATTCTGAATTAGAATGTTAAAAAATTTTTTCCCAACAAAATCGACGACAGCAGTTGGCTACCATAAAAGTGCTTCGTTATTACCGCCGAATCCCGCTCGAATTACGAACAAAATACTTCAATGTGAGGTTTTGAATGTGATTTTTGAATGTGATTTTTAAATGTGTTTCTTTCGGTGAAGCAGAGCTCCCTTCTCTACCGCACGACGGCAAAATATTATCAAACTTACTTTTAGTTTCTTCTTATTAACAGCTGTATGCTTCGGTTCCTCCACAACAGGACTATATGAATTGGATTTAGAGCAGGTCTTTAGCTAAAAAATACAAAAGAAACTAAAGCATCCATTTTCTAGATGAGAAGATAGTATTCCGATATCATTCCTGTTCAGCGAGTTACGTCATTCCGTATTGAGTAATGCATTCAAGTAAGGTCATTTCTGTTGCTACGCTTTATTTCACAATTTACTAAACCTAAGTTGTTGATTGTTAATTCAGAACTTTGTCGCGGAAACTCTTATGACAATAGTTCACAAGCCGTTATCAATGAATGGTTTCAGTTATACACTAAATCTTAATCTAAAAAAATATGTACAAAAATTCTGATTACTACTCGTTCTATTATAATGCCCTTTCTAGTAAAGTGTGCAATTCCATTCAGCCTTTATGCCCAGTTGAAAAATTTGACATGCTCGCGACATTGTAAACACTGGCAACCGTATGCATCCTTTTTATATATTACTGGGTACAATTTATTCCTCTTCGATTCTGGCTTAATCGTTGTTATTAAATTACTTGAACAATGAGCAATCGTTCAGTTGTGAATTAATCCCAGACACGAGATCTTGTTACCTTTTTCTGAGCAAGATTCGTCTTCATTTTTGCCTAAATAAGAATGGAATAAGAAATAAAGAGATGGTTGCATGGTTGAGATGATTTGGACACGTAATAAGAAGAGATGATTAAGATGAAGAAGAGCTGCATGGTCTCAGAGATTTATTGAGGCAAAGAACAGGAAGTTTAAAAAAGAACAAACCTCGTGAGCATCTAAAGTGTCCAAGAGACCATGATTCGATGACTGCTGTCGATCTGAATGAAGTTATTAAATGGGTTTAACCACGTGCCCCACTTTAAGAACACCATGTCAACAACATATTATTCCTATCATTAAATCACAAATTTGGGACAAATTCTTATGAATAAACCCACGGTCAGACGATGCAACATCTAACCAAGTGAGGAGCTAAGCCTGACCAAACTAGTCCAAACCACAGAACACTAATAAAGTTCATGCTATACACACGAAAACATCAATCTGATCTCCCCAGGTAACATTGGGACAATATTTCACTACAAAAGAGACCGACTCGCTGAAGACACTTTCTTTGCATCTTTAAAAACGCTATATTTAATGCAATATTATTTAAATGAATATCAGCTAGACAGTTCATGCATATGTTCAAAATTAGCGGAATTTGAGCAATTCTACAGTATATCAATTAGGCAAGCCATTGTTATGAGCAGAACGGATGCGTAGACTTCGCTCTAACTCCCCTTCAAGGAGTATAATAAGGATAATTTAAACAAACATTGCGATTGGAATGAAAAACGACAACAAAGCAATGATAGAGTTCAAATTCCGGTTTGCAAGACTAGTGCTTCCAGGCGCCACAATCAATTCGTAGTCGCTTTCCCATTTTAGTGTCGGGTTGAAAGGATCTGCAGGGCCTTGCTGCTTCTCTTGTTGGTTCGACTTAAACCCGGTAAAACATGTTTTCTTACAGCACGAGGAGTCCAATATATGTTTGCTGTAAGTACGACTGTACGAGAAACGTTCATACATATAGGCTATGCACACTTCTTTCCCATAGAAGATTACCGATACATCCCGACCGTAGGTTCGGTTTGCTTGGGATGTCTTGAACGACAACCCTTTTACAAGTGGATATGAGACATTGAAACAGATATTTTTTGTGTATCTCTGACACCAGACGCGATTCAGCACGGCGACTTTGGCAGAACCTGCCTCGCCAACATCAGGGTAACAAGGTTCGGATGTTGGCTGGACGCCGTGATGGTTGGGCACGATAATCAAATTTAGATCACTTTTCACTTCAGGAACTGCCTGGTACGAATAGGTCGGGAAATTCTTTCTTTCGACAATGATCGCCGACTCGCTGAAGCATCGCTGTCTGCAACTCGAAAGCGATAATACAATTCCAAGTCTTGTCCATTTGTACTCCTCGTAGATATACGATATGCAGGCTTCTTTCCCGTAAAATAGAATGGACAAATCTTGGCCGCATGTTTTGGACGCTTGCGTGGTATTGTAGAGCGAATCTTTGGTAAGAGGGTAAAACTTTGGTGAATACGGCTGGCCGAATTTCGAATAGCAATTTCGTTTTAGTACGGCGTATTTATGTTCACCATTTTCGCCTACAGTTGGAGTGCACGTGTTGGCGGTTGCCGCTTCCACAATGCATAAGACAAAAAATATACGAAGGATTTTCCGTTTCATCTCTGCATGTCAAACTTCCCGAGAACGACAAATATACGAGGAAATGTTGAATTTATGCGATAAATGCAGTATGCATATCTAATCTCGAATGACAGCATGTATATATGAATCGAAAATATTTGTATTCTTCAAAACAAAGATGAAACCAGCGGGTGTTTTTTTGTCGACTCTTGATTCTTGTAACATACAAAACGTGAAATATAAATGGTAGTTCTTGATCTAATTGACTGCGTGTGGGCCAGCCACAAATGTTTAACATTATTTTGACTTGGTTATGCCGCACAGGACTGAGAAATAATAGGAAATTGGACATATTTATTACAAATTAATTGTAAGCTATAGTCACTGGTCAGTGACTGGTCAGTGACTGGTCAGTGAGTATAGCTTTTTGATGCCTTTTATGAAATTATGTTGAACCTCAAAGTTTCTACTAAAACAATTTGTCGCCTCGGGCTCAGTGATTACGATACTCTTCTATATTCACTTCGCTTTCGGCTGACGATGCTTCATCAAACCTGACAAAAGCTTCACCCCCCCTCTCCCCCCCATAAAAACAATTGAAAGTAAAACATTTGAAGTCTATACCTTTTTGCTTGTTCGCAACCTCGTTTCTGTCCCCTTCAGTGAAAGATGCCACAGACATACCCATAGCGTCAAGCAGCCAGGAGTTTCCAGACGTTTCACCCTGTTTTTTCCCATTACAATTGCTTACAACTTCGCCCTGTGTAGGATTCTTAACCCTGGTGCAGCTTGCGACACACTGAAAGGGAAATATTTTGAATTATTGCGTCGACCATAAGCAAGCGAGATATTTTCTTTGGCGGTATCGCCAAGTAACATTGCAAAGCGTCGGAAGAGGAATTTCAGAATATTGCAATCCACTACAGCAGAGCCCAGTTGTATAAAACTCTTAACTACATTTTGCATAGCATCAAATATGGTATAACAACTGCCTAAAATTGACAAAAACACTTCTCGACGTTTCGACCTGAGGGCCTTTACAGGCTTGACGAGTTAGTAATTTATCTAGCTCCTGATCTATAAATATCACTGATATGCGTTCTTGGCGGAGGAGTCAATTTACAAGAGCACTCACCTTATTAACACTGGAGGAACTTCCTAAGGGCTTTTGATTATAAGTGTCGCTCTGTTTCGATTCATCAGAACATCCCAGAGTTTCTTCTCGAGTTACCTTGGTTACTTTCATACAGCTCGAATCACACTGGGAATGAATGGTTTAGAAAAATCCATGGTAAAATTCGTTAAAAGGCTATGAAACTACATATATCACCGAAACTATTTTCACTATATAAATTTGTAAAGTTCACTCAGTTGGCCATGCTAACAAGTTCAGAATTTTTCTACGTTTGAAAAAAACTATCCAGGGAATAACTTTATCCATTTTTACAAACAACCGGCCCCAGAGCGGCTCGTTCATTGGACATTAAAAGGTGGGATTTCCACAATATAGACAACATCGATATTTAAAAAGTGCTTGAAGATGTAACGTTTTATTTTGGTGTTCAGATCAAAACCAAAATACGACGGCAAAATTCAGTTTATATCGTTGTCTCTCCGTTCTATGACACACCATTCTACCGGCGATAGCCCATATCATTAGCTTAAGAACAGTGGGGAATTAGGACTTGACTGAATCTCTTTTCGTGTATTTATTACGATACTTAATTTAAGAACTCACTAATTCTGTTGCTCGTCTGAAAAAGTTCCGTAACTCCCTCTGAAGGTCCCCAAACTTCGGATATGTACAAATATACGGCTTCATCCATTTTGGCAGTTCCGCTTTTGTTCTTTCTTGGCAGAACCTTGGAAAATGAGGACACAATTCTACAAACTTGCTTACCTAAATGGTCTCACCTGACCTGGTTTGGGGGTGCAAGGACTAATCATATAACAGTTTAAATATTGACTAAGACAGAGTGCATTCATTATTTAAGAGAACTAGACAGAAAAAATGGACAAAAAATTAGGCAGTTTTCACTGAAGCTCCCTTTCCACAAAATATTAAAAAGGTTAATTTACCCTGACGCAGTACACGGGTATGGGTAGTCTTATTTTGCTCAATAGAAATTCAAGCTGTTTACATGTTTTATAATAAAAATCTTGTTTTTCTCAACAGGTCAAAGTCTGACTACTGGAAAAGCATTTTAGAGGTGAAGTCCAAAAAATCAAATATTGATGGAAATTCATTGAACATAAATAAGGCTACCTGTACCCGTAGACCAGAACCTGGGTATCAGATTAGAACGGATATGCAGGGTCATCTGGCAGAGTTTTCGGTAATTCTCATTCAAAATTTCTTGGACCATGTTAAAGTTTAAGAAACACACCTCTCGTCACAAAAGAGTATGGCTCCATAATCTTCTTTATGACGTAATACACGACCGATGGCTTGATTGACAGCCCGAGATGCCTGCTGACCATACCATTGTTGACCATTTAATCCCTGTAAATACACGATTATGAGTGAAATAGTACCTACATTTGCTCCTGACACAGAAGCGTGAAACTATTGTGGTATTATGGTATAAACAATTACACGACTTGGAGATTACAGTCACGATTTGATAGAGCTTCAGATAAAATTCTCAGCACAAAAGTTTCCGTATTTGAATACGGGCTAAATTGACTTTTGAATCACGGATTGCCACATATTTCTCGTTTCGTATTGGATTGTAAAACCACAAAGCAATCTTAATAGTTTATTCCTTAAACAATCTATGATGATTAGAACCACTTTATAACCAACCTTAAATTCTCTTTTGTTTACCACCTCATTCAGGAATTGTTTTTTCAATTCCACCTAAAATGGGAGGGAAAACAAAAAAATGTTTTTGAACTTTGGAAAGATGTCTAGAGATAATAGATTTTAACCATAGCTAGGGTAATAATGTAATATCTAAACTGTATTAAGTCAAACTTGAGTAACCACAAATCCCAACATATTCCTATCATTGTTCAGTCTATCAATCAAAAGACTCAATTTCCGTTTTATTTTTGCGAATATTAAAACAGCAATAGCTAGGTGGTTAATTGAAACCCCAACCTTTGGATCAAAAGCCGGTGGATAAGGTAATCCAGTTATGACGACAGCACGACCGTTGATATCACTAAAATCGACACCTTCGCTGACCTAAACGTGAGAAACACACGAGTTTCTTGTAAAACATCCGAGGCAATTTTACGATCTGTTATCAGGATGTGTTTGACTTGTATGTTTCGGTCATAGTTTCATAAATATTAATCATAAATTTAATTCTAAACCTCACCCTAACTCTTACCCAACTACTTATACTAAAGGATTAGAATCAATGATTATATTCGTGGACTCTAAACATTAAATTATTACCTGTTTCCACCAAATCTGACAAGTTTCCAGCAGATTGGCTAACAGCTTATTACTGTACAAGGTTTTAAACCTGACAAGTTGTATGTATGTGTCTAAAGATATTGGTATTAATACGTTGGTAAAATGCAGTAGACACCATACCTTTCCTCGGCAAACGGCAAGAAACACAGCACCCTTGTTCTCTGGATTGCGAACTTTTTCATAAAATCCTTCCATTGCCTAAAACAGACCATGAATCCTATGATAAACCTCAATCAGCCTGTTCATTGTGAGTTATTTAGTTGAACATAACCTTCAGATCAAAATGACCCGTTTTTCGTCGTGGTAAAAACGTACAGAGATATATGAACTGTTTAACTATATATTCATTCGTTACAAAGCCTAGTATTAAAATTTCGCTGGATGGAAATAGAACCAACCTCTGTAAATTCGTTTTTTCGTCTCGGTTCAACAAAAATAGTTTTTCTTGTCTCAAGTCGGTTCCATAGACCAGAACTCTTACAAAACAAAGGATAATCATTGTTAATTAATGTAACGGACTAGGATATGAAACATCGTTCCTATCAGTTTTGTCAACAAACGAGGCGGTGGAATTTCGACCTAAGGCTAAGGAAGAACCGCAAAAAAGGTCCAGTAAGATTGATCTGTGTAAAAGTAACATTAGCTGTGTTTATACTACAGATGAACAATTCGTCTGGACGAACTTTGGCAAATATTTTTAATTCATCTGTTAATTCGTCTGGGTATCAGAAACTACACCATCGTTAAATCTATAGCTATACCTGCCAATGTTTCAATGCAGTATCAAGAGTTCCATAGGATGGGAAAAACACCAACATTCCATCAGGAACGACCTGTGCAAAATTTACTGCAACAAAAAGGAGTTTTATCAACGCAAACTTGAAACTTAGAATGGTTCTTGTCCAGTATGGGAGAGGTACTCAAATACAACCGTTATATAATCTCCCTGTCAGAAGAGCTAGTCCCTACCTCAAAAATTACTTTAAGGTTGCAAAGAAGTTACTGGTTTGGGAATGAAAAATATTTCGTTGCAGAAAGATTGAAAATACTGAATAAAACAAACTTACATGCCTAAACCTTCCCAGATTATATGAAACCAGACATTTCGCTACGATTTTATTTTTCGGTAACTTACCTATTGCAATCCCCAGACTTGTTAAGTACTTCACGTTGTTCCTGTGGAAAAGGGGACGCCCTTAGAATTGCCACTGATAGTGTAGTGGTATTATAGCATGTACACCGCTTAAAACTAGTAGTAATCCAGAAACGATGAGGGTTAGAGACACTCTCCTTTTAAAATATATTACAAAATTCTACCTGTTTTTGTACGAAGAATTTAGGACTGCCGAGTCGGGTCCTGTTTTAAGGATTCCAACGAACATCTGATGTTTCTTGATGACATGTGGATTTTGAAGTTCCACTGGTATATCGCTGTGGGATGAAATAAGGTCTGATCAAATTTCCTGCAGTCACACGTAATTGTAAAGATATGAATCCGATCAACGTAACTATATATAGCCCACATATACGTTGAGCTGAGCCTAGAATTTAGTGTACATATAATTTTTAGAGCAGATTTGCAGGAAGTTCATCATTAAATTGAAAAAGATTTCACTTACATTTGAAGCTCGGATTTAAAAGAGTCTAAAGGTGAAAGTGTTCCACTGGTCAAAATCATACATCTCACTTCGTGTTTCATCAAATCTTTCATTGTCTCTCCTGGAGAGAAGCACCAGTATCCCAGGGAATAGCCTAAATGTTGGTTTGTCAATTAGAAATCGATTTCGGTTGGTACTCAGTTAGTAGCATAACAAAATATTGTAGAAGCAACCAAAGTGTGCATATGATATAGAAATTCATCGACGTATATAGCCACTGGATTTGCTGAATCGACCACAGTGATAACAATAACAGCGGCTAAGTGACTACAAAATAATATTTCAGTAGCTCTTTTCAATGGCTTTATATTATGGATGATGTAATTGATCACCTTTGTCGCCGCCAGCTGCCTTGCTGGTTGACCAAACATCCAGTTGCTTCCTCTTCCAATCATCATTCGTTTGCTGTTGAACATGAACCTAAAAAAAACAAGGAACTTAATTTGGCTACAGCAATACATGAATTGTCTCATTTTTCATTAACTACCTGCCATGCAGAGCTTACTTTTAATACCCCCAGGTTGAGATGATTGCACCGTAAATGTGCCAGCTTGTTGTACATCAAATAAAATACTGTAAAGTTTAAGGCTTATGGGAGCAGGTTGCATGTTAATGATAAATGACAGTTATATATTATTAGCTTGCCTTATAAGAACGACTTCTTTCCTCTTTTTTGCTCGAACCTAATGCATCGCCGTTCCGAAAAACTACCTGGAATGCAATAATATGGACAGATTAGACTAGTTTTTATCGGTGAAAATGATTGTTTACGAAAATGATTGTTTACAACAATTACGACACATGCAATGGAAACCAGGTTAACGACTGCTTGAAGATATGTTTGCCTCAAAGCAAACATATACCACTAACTACCACTAAATAAATACCATAAACTACCACTAAATAAATACCATTAACTACCACTAAATAAATACCATTAACTACCACTAAATAAATACCATTAACTACCACTAAATATACACCACTAACTACCACTAAATTTTCTATCATGTCGAAGACTACTGTATACGTACTTTCAAGGCGTCCGCGAACTTGCTTAAGTGAAATTGTCTTTGTCTTGCACCACCAGTTTGATCTAAATTGAAGAAGATTTCTTAAATCATGAATGTATTTCATTTCCCAGTTTTAACACTATTTTGCTGCAATATTGGCATATTAACTCATGCAGAGCTTGCTCTAACTCAATAATCGCCTAAAACCCTTTGCACATGCAAGATTAACAAATAAAATGTTGAAACAAGATCGGAAACCACTTCATAAACTCACTTGCAACGGAAAATGAAACGACTTTCTCGATTAGTTCGACCACTTGGCTGTGTGTTTCACGAGTGATTTTGACTTTGGCAAGAAGTTCGAAAATGTAACTGGATGACAAAAAGACAATATTCATAAAGAGTGCAAAAGTTAAGACATTTCTAACGAGGCTGCAGTCATATAACGCTTGTAATTCGTTTCAACAACGTTTTTAAATAAACTTTATACCGCACCTGCCGGGATGCGTAATTCCTTTGGATGATGAAGACGTTACAGTATGCAATTCTTCCTCTAGCTTCAAGACCAAGCCTGGAAAACAAACAAAATAGACCGAATTATAATACGAAATCAGGCTAGCAAATCATGTCAAAAAAAAAGAGGCTGGGCATGAGTTTATGAGTAAAATTATGAATGAGCTAGCCGTCATCTGATTGGCTTGATAGCTGATGTAGCTAAATCACTTGCTGTTCACTGAACTGCATACAGCTGAGAAGAGGTATACAAAAACATTCCTAGCCACCTTTTAGTATTTCCCAATTTCCATTCGTGGCTTCACTTAATACACACTCCATGATTTTGATGTGCGGTTTCAATCCAGATAACATAACTGGCAACCGAAAGTTATACATACCTTTCATGTATGCGACTTCCTGCTTATCCAAATCTCCATCATCTGGTAAACAAAAATACAAAATTTTTAACACAGCTGATTGTATAAAAAGGCAATCAACTACATGGTTAGCGGCAGAACTGCTCAATTGGAATCTTGTGTTATGAAGTTGACTACGATTTTACTACGTGCGGCTCTTTCATATTTAGCAAATTTTTCAAACACCACTTGTTCTATTAATCCCGAATTGTGATCGCCTTCATGATTACCCATACTAATAAACAATTTGCATAACAACATAATAATAAAGAGATCAACTTGCTTTTATTTCCAGCGTCATCGACTAAGGAGAGCGTTCCGTCTTCCTCCATGGTTGCCAAAGTGTCCAAACACTTGTCTAGGTCTTCAATGCAGCTCGCGATGTCAAACGAGGTAAGATCGAAAGACATCGCTGCTTCACAGATTTGTTCCTACGAAAATTGAACGTAATTTGGAGTTTTGAGTGAAGAACAGTAGCTTGCTGCTTGCCTAACAAAATTTCGACAGAACTATGTTCAGAACTATGTTCGCCATCAAAACTCAAATGGATTTTGATAATCGACTACAGTCACGTATTGTGCCCTTGAAAGGCAAACGGGGAAATGTCTGCAAGGTTGCTTGCTACAACCAAGGAAATTTCTGTGTGATGATCTTTAGAAAGGAGTCGTGTAAATTAAGAATATCCCCTAGCTTGCTGGTTGCCTAACAAAATTTCTACAGAACGCCATTTCTACAGAATATAGCGCCATCAAAACTCAAATGGATTTTGATAATCGACTACGGTCACGTATTGTGTTCTTGAAAGGTTAACGGGAGAAGGTCTGCAAGGTGGCTTGCTACAATTATCCAACATGTCTTCCATATTCAAAAGATCCACAGAAAATTTCTGTGTGATGATCTTTATTTCATGCCACGAAAACAAATGAGTCATAAAAATAAAGATTGTCCCCTTACAATATTGTGTGCTTCGTCGAAGATGATAATACTCTTTGAAATATCAATGTCGTTTGATTGTCTTGACTAAATTAAAGAGAAAAACCTTGTTGGATATATTTAACATATCTTGACCAATTCAGCTGAATGAGCTATCCGTACAGATACAGGCTCGATGCTAGGGGAGGGGGAAAAATATATAGGTATACGAAGATACTGATCTCTAACGTTCCACAGAATATATGCAGGCTTACGGATTCGAAAATACATACCAAGCAACTCGCGGTAAATATTTAGAGTGAATTTTCTTCCGGGGGAAATGGGCTTTAAAAGCAGTCAAATTGAAGAGTCGAGTCAAATACCTTTGCGTCGATTAAATAATTATACGGCATGAATACAATGTCAGCGTTTTTCCTTTGTTTTCGTGACATGAAGTAAGGACAGCGACTGTAAAAATAATAAATATATAAAAAACGATCAGGCTCAAAATGACTTACACGCACTTGTCGCATTTATTGTCACCTTTCTTTCTTCCCAAGTCCAACAAGATCCTCAATATCCAAAATCTCCGATGCCAACTCTTTTGTACAGGAATCATCTACAACAAGGGATACAGAAATTAACAATAAGTTCCTGTTTAAACGAGCTTGTTAGGCATGCAAGAAAATGCAGGATTTGATATTATCATGCGCCTTTTTGACTAATTCTTGGACCATATAAATTCATCACTCTAGTTTGATTGACAGGACACTAATTAATAGGGAAAGCCCTTAAATTTAAAGTGTCTATTTGCAAGGGAATACCAAACAATCTCTGACGATACTGTATACGCCAATGGCAATGGCCGAATAACCAAATAAAAACATTTCTTAGTGGTAGTACCTCGTTCAAGCATATTATAGTAATGACACGTCTTTGATAACACTTTCGTACGGCACAAATGCCTCTGGAAATAGTAAAAAGAATGGGGATAACTATCTTATTTTAGGGACAAAAGAATGTAGATACTGTGGATAGTAAATTATTCAGTTTATCGACCGTGCAAGAAAATGGGTACATGGTATGTATTTGAGCTACATAACTCCAACGAAGTCATTTACACTTGCCTTGGCCGTGTGCGTTTCTTGTTCAAGAACCTGGGGATGAATGCACAGCTGGTCACGTGAACCTAGCACGCATACTTTGGGTCTGAAACAAAAATCAACAGAAAACGTCAATTTGAAATTTTCCTAACAGTTAAATCTTAGTTTCCCGGTTGAACTCAGCACTCAGGGCTTCATGTTAATCGTGTGACCCTGCGTTGTTTTTGCGCTGGGGTTTTATAGTAAACTGACTGATTTCAATCAGGTTAAAATTTCAGGCTGTGAGTGTGAATGCCGGGCTGAATTCAACCGCAAGCCAGTTGAAATTTGAAAATGCCTTATATAATATGAGCGGCGTATATAAATGTATTTATTAGTATAATAAAAGAAGTTAATATCGAAGAGTTGGCCCTCGCGTGAGTTCCTAGTTGGGTGTTTGGCACGGGGGTATTTTCCCCGGGCCTTAGTATTTATATGGCTTGCCTTGTTGTTTATCTGCTTATTATCGCTTCGTTCGCCCCGCCTTCCTCCCCTGACATTCCACCCGTCGGGGGATGGTTTACACTTATTGTTTTTAGTTTAGCTTCTCTAGGTTCAGTTGGTTTGCAAAGATTCCTACGGTATGTATCGAATTATTTACTATGTGTGCATCGCGTGTGTTCATGTTTTCCTTCCACGGCTTTCACTTCTGTGATTCCGTGTGACAGTGTGATCACGGGATGGAGAGGGTACCGTTTAGGTTCCATATCTGATCGACGTACGCATGATTGAAAATGACAGTAAAGACTACGCATCGCCAACCTCGTTCGCTTCGCCGAGCTCGTTCGCTTCGCCGTGCTGCCGTCTCCATCCCTACCGATCCGCAGCGGGCATAACTAGTTAGGTTACTATAGTCATAGTATTCACTAAGCCTCGCCTAGCCTCGGTGGGCCTTATCTGAGTATATTAATTAACTTACTTGTAAACTGTATTCTTCAGCTCATTTACGACTTGTGTAAGTTGTGAATGGGTTCTTGATGTGTAGATGATTTTTGGTACTGAATACTCGGGAGCTTATAAAGAGAAAAGTGATACATTAGGAAGCTTCTCTAACATTTAATTAAGACGGTTAGAATATTTAGCTGAATGTGAGCTAGATAAGCAGGATATGCTAACATCCAAATAATCAATGAAACAATAGCTACGCGTTTTTTTATTACAGGACCAAATTATAAATATGGCGGTGAATATAAATATACCGTGAAGTGATAAAAATGTTATGAACGAGTACATTTTAGAAGACAAACATGTTGACCTATGGCAAAATTATCTTGCTTATTTGACGTCAGATCGTTTGATAAAAGGCTAAAGGCTCATTGCAGAAATCCTAAAGAATATAAAGCAAAGAAAAGCAAGAAAATCTTTGAAATTAAATTGTACTTTCTGAGCGCATGTAATCATAGATGTAATATACAATTGCTCATACTACATCATTTCTGTTGTTTGGTCATGTGATGAAAAAACGCGCAGCTATTGGTTCTTTTGATTAATTATAGTGTCTAGCTCGCATTCTGATTGGTTCCTGAGGTCGCTACAGTTGCTCCATTTTGGCGCGAAATCGTAACATTCGCATTTTAGATCCGCCCTTGAGAAGTATATCTGGAAAATGTTTACTATTTTTCGCTTGGCAAGAAATATAATATCAATATTACAGTTTCAACCGGGTTCCTTCACCATTTTTACATTTTTTAGCCCTTTGTTTCATTGAAAATGTGGAATATTCTTAAACAAGTTCGAAATTCTAATTATTGAAAATGGCAACAAAATCTAAAAGCAACACCTACGCCATTTTTCAGGTAAACATAATTTCATCAGATTATATGAAGATTCATGAAGATGTTGTTTTGAAATTGTGTTTTTTCTAACCTTTTACAGTAAGTTGTGTCTTGTTATTAAGGGCAAAAATCACAATGTAAACAAAGTTATACGAAAGTTGAATGACTTCAGAAACCCTTTGCGCTTGCAATTTTCGTTAAAAATCGTTCCGTGTATCAATTTCGAGACTTAATTATTATGGGCTGTACAGAAGGATACCTGAACTATAGTTCTTGGTACTTTATTTTCATTAAAATTTGACCAAATGCCCTTATGGACTTTATGCCCAGATAATAGGCAATATATATGCGTTCAAATCAGACTCAGATTTTACAATAGTTAAACTTCACTTCACTTTACATTTACCTTCACTTTCTTCTGACATCCAGCCATCAGCAGCTTGCCCAAGGTTTCTTATCATCACAAAACTGGCACTTGCTTTATTTTCTTGAACCTTCATACTCAGTTGCAAGCGAGCCACAAATGTGTCTCTCCAGGCCAGTGTTGCACAAAGTAAACATAATGTCTTTCCAGTTCCTGTTGGTGATTCTAAGATACCATTTTTACCCTAAAAATGCTAGGACATTATTATCTGCAGAAAGCTGGCTATTTATGTTATAATGTATGGTGGTGGTATGGTGGGGTGAGCCACAATTAGGGGGTGAGACACATATAACACTAAAAGAAAAAAATATACAGGTTTTTATTAATTGTTGATAACTTGACTCATATACTTATGACAAACCCAAAAATAATTTACATTAATACAAACCAACCCTTAACACCTGATGATATATTGATCATTAATTATACTTTAGCAACATTTAGTACAATTTGTACAAAACTTTAAAGATGGACGAGCAAAGGTAAGATATAACAAAAGACAAATAAAATAGTAGACACAAAACTTGATACAAATAAAAATCAATATATTTGGGTGAATTGCCAGATAATGTGTTGCTAAGTTTTTCAAGTTTTCATTCTTGTGGCTAACTGTCAGGTAAAATTCTTTTGTTTGTACCAAAGTCGAAATGATGGAAATTAAAGACATTAAAGGGCTGTTTACCTGAGCCCTACAGGGAGGGAGGGCTAGCTGAACCTGTAGGGCTGTTTTTCACCTCTGTTTACATGCAAAATTCTAGCCCCACATCTACGGCTGAGTCTGGATGGCATATTTTGGCACAAAAAACAAAATGGCTGGCACCAAAAAAAACACAAAATTGTTATTTTCACTATTTCATTTAAAATATCTTTACTTTTCCTAATGATTTTTCAACAGTATACCCTGTTATTGCTTCGAAAAATTAATGAAGAAAGTTTGAACCGTCAAATAGTGTCATCGCTGACGTCGAATCTTTAGCTAGCTGGCCCTGTTACGTTTACATGGAAAATTTCCAGCCCTACCAACCAGGTGAGATCTCAGGTAGTCAATAACAAGATCTCGCCTGGTAGGGCTGGCCCTCCTCTACTGAAAACAAAATTTTTCTTTAGTATGGATTCATAGTAGCATGAGCTATCTCGCTTGGTAGGGCTAGCTAGCCTTCCCTATAGGGCTCATGTAAACAGCCCTCAAGTGATTTTTTAAAAATATACATTGGCTGGTAAATCTGAAGATTTTTGTGTGGGTTAGTGCACCAGGAAGCAAAATTGTGAAATGCAGACATTTTAAGATTTTGGTCCTTTCTTTTCTAATTGATTAATGATTAACAAAGACTAAATTTATTGTAAAAATATTTCTGGAATGGATCCAGATTAATAATAGCTGATATTGATGGAAATTTTTTGATCATCTTCTGCAAATGTTCACGCTATACCCTTTTTAAAATGCAGCAACAAAACGTGTTATTTGTGAGTTTATATCACCAAGAGTACTGTACTACATAAACATTGGGTCAAAATGCAAATCAACAGATAAGAGAATAGGAATGCATCGGAGCCGATGTCTCAGCAATCAGAGACTAACAAGAATTGTACACAAGACTCTCATAATCATCTCAGACAAGGACTATGTTAAACACCATCAAAATTCGAAACAAAATGAAATGTAGGCCAACCAACCTCTTGCAAACATTCAATAACTTTGCTCATGTAGTTTACTTGGCAGTCGTAAGGCTTGTATGGGAAATCAATTTCGACTCCCCGTACCTTGATCACTGGCATGGTTGAACGCTGAATCTAAAATACTACATTTTGTTGCAAAAGTATTCGCCTTTAAATTCTACAAAGTAACAAAGCAAACGATCATGAGCAAATGCTTATTTTTTTCACAATTTGCGCCATTTGTCTTCGTTAGTACTCAGTCTTCTCAGGACGGGCACTGAACTCATGCTTAACCTGGATGGTTGAATAACTTGGCTGTAAAGTCTGTAATCTAAGAGCTAAACGCTAGCTTAAACTCGAGTAAACCTGAAATAGATCTTATGCATAATGACGTATCAAGCCGTGACGCCTGCAGAGAATTCTTGTTTTAGTATAGTCACTGCGTAAAATTCAAAATTACAATGCTATCATATACTGATATATATTCATAATTTCATGCACTTAACAACTATTTACAATGATGTTTGCAATTGATCTTATACAAACATTTGCACAGCCTGTTCTCTAAACTAGTTTAATAATGCTCCTTTACTCTCCTGCAATCACAGTCAGACCATTGGTCTTATAATGGCCGAGAGACTTCCAGCAGAATACTCTCAGACGGTTCATAGGTAATTGTCGACACTTACTGGTTGAGCAAAGCAGCTCTCTGCCAGTGGCTGCCACATGGTGATGTTAACTTTCTCCGGAATGGTGCAGGTCAGGTGAATTTCCAACTTCGATTGATCAACCATTGAAGGAGGAGAGTACCAAAAAGAGCAATTGGCACTAGGATGATTGTTCATAGCTGTATAAGTTCAGAGCATTAGCTTAGTTCGTCAACACTGCTCGCAAATATGTTCTTCCTACTGGCCACCAATGAGATGTCTTATTTGATGGCAGAATGGTATGACAAGATATTCAGCTTGGCGTTCGTGGCTCCGGGTTCGCGAAAACGGAGCTGGCTCCGAGTTCGCGAACCGGTTTCATACAAACCGATGTGGCCGCTTCGCTTTTAATGCAATATTGTTAAGAACATGGCCGAAAATGAGAGTTTTATTTCATTTAGTTTGCTCGCAATAGCTCCGTAAAGTTGGCTAATTTTTGCACAAAGTTGACTGGTCAGCGGCATGGACGACGGCAAGGCTTTATAAAAGTTCGATTTACTAGCTTAGTTTTTGTAAAAACCAAAAGATGGCGATTCGAGAGAAAGCTTATGAGAATATCTTCTAGCTTGCGAAATCACGACAAGCAACTTGTTTAAAGTCTAGCAATTTGATTTCATGCACGTACCCGTGATATAATTATAATCCCTTCGCGAAGGCAACTAACCCGGTTTCTGCAAATTTTTGTTTTTCCACATAGGTTTTTCCATATATGATCAATGTCAATGTAAATGTCATATGATCAATATAACATTTGATCATATGACATTTACATTGACATTGATCATATGACATTTACAGTTCAATAAACCTATGTGGAAAAACGCAGTAACCGGGCTAGTTGCCTTCGCGAAGGGATCCGGATTAAAATTTATGTCACGGGTGCGTGCATGAAATCAGACGGCTACAGAAGTTGCCTGTCGTGTTTTCGCAAGCTAGAAGGTTAGAAGTATAAGGATATTCTCATAAGCTGTCTCTCGAATGGCCATCTTTGAGTTTTTACAAAAACTCGTCGTAAAGCTAGTAAATGGAACGTTTATAAAGCTGCCGCTGACCAGTCAACTTTGCGCCAACTTTAAAAAAAGCCAACTTTACGGAGCTACTAAATAAGACTCTCATTTTCGGCCATGTTCTTAAGAATATATATAAAAAAGAAAAATTAAGGCCTTTTTAAATTTTTCGATTTCCAAAGCGAAGCGGCCACATCGGCTTGTATGAAAACTAACCACTCCAGCTCCGTTTTCGCGAACCCGGAGCCACAAGCCTGGAGCTGAGTATCCTGTCATCAGAATGGTAACTACTGGTCGCAATGGCTGGCCGGCTCATCGACAGTGATCGGCCATTCCTGGTAATTTTCTTCCATAGACGTCTCCAACAATTCCTGACTGTTTATCTGGGATTGGTTCGATGACTGGCCAACAGATGACTGGCCACTGGATTGTTGGCGATTTGCTTCCAGCTGTTTGGTGAAGAGCCTGGAATGACGTTTGTTTGGCCATGGCCACGGCAGAGACGTCGTACGAACCACGACGTCTGTGGAAAATACGACGGAAAAAGGATGACAGTCGTTCAGTAAATGAACGCTTTACTCGCAACCTTAAAGAGAAAAAAACATAATTTCTATAATTGTTGCTATAGACCCCTAATCCTGATGATTTGAAGAATATTGTCATGCTAATAGACACAGCAAAACAACTTTCACAACAACACAGCCTTGTTTCAAAGCGTAAACGATTAGACAGAATTTATACAGAATTCAATATCTCATAAAGCGTAAACGATTAGACAGAAATAACGTTGCAAAGACTTCGCAACCAGCAAAGGTGGATAGTAACAAACATCTAATGATCTAACAACTCAGTATTCAACATCAGTACATCAGTAAAGCACGTTTACATCGTCGCTGCGACCACTGACTAGGAACCTAGGCATATTGTTGCACTATTTCGGGATCACACCGTCTCCGAAATACATATTGATATTAGTTGAAGGTGAAGTTACTCACCAGGAGTGCTTTGCAACTTTTTTTATACTTGGTCGGGCCGCTGGGTCCATGCTAAATAATTTTCTCATTAGGTCTTGCAAATCTACAGATAAAAAATTCGAATACAAAATCCTGGATGGCCTTGTCGTATATATGAGAAAAACGAAAAAACAACAAGCAAGATTTAAATATTCTTAGCAACAACGGTTGGTGTGATTGATATGCATTCCAACTTCAAAAGGGAATTCGGGAATATATGTATGAATGCTGATCTCTATATTTTCCGGCTTTCTCTAACCTGTTATAATTTCATGAATTTAACTCACCTTCAGATAAATCATCCAGTTTTGGCGGTCCTGATATAACATCTGCAAATGTTGTGTAATCCGTAAAAGCTGGTTCGCCGTGCAACATTTCATATATCATGACTCCAATAGACCGCACAGCTTCCTTGCAAGGATCATACAATTCATGCAGAATGTATTCTGGAGGCATATTGTATGGAGTGCCTGAGGGAATAAAACATGTACAATGCAATTAACCAGTCTTTTTGAATGGAATAAAACTACTAAGCAATGACCGGAAAAGTTGAAATTTAAGAAAATGAGAAATATTACTGGGGTTGATAGTTTTACAACAGATTAAACCTGACTAAAATTAAAGCCAGTATTTTGAAACCTGAAAAAGTAAATTCTCACAGGTTCGATCAAGGATTTTTAACAATGTAGCTGATGAATTGCTACTTTGGAAGAGAAATTGGAAAGACAAATTTGTTTTATGATAACAAAATCTCACGCTAAAGGTGCATGGGAACGGAATTTGGTGATTAAAACTCAGACAACAGAGATAACAACCTCGTACCCAGGGTCTTTTTACCTCCGCTCCAAGGCCCACGCTGGTACGAGGTTGCAGAGGTAAATTATTCATGACATTCCAGGAAAGTTTACTCACCACAGAAAGCGTCAACTAGGTTGCCAGGTTTATTATAGCCCGCAAATCCAAAATCAAGCAACTTGATTTCACCAGTATCAAAATCATAAAGGATGTTCTCCAATTTCAGATCACGATGAACGATGTTCTTCTTGGACATCGCCAATACAACGTTGACCAACTTCTTCATGCATTGTTGAGTTTCATCCTCGGTGAAGAAACCTCCTACGTCCCACATGAGGCTTCGGAGATCTTTGCAATGAGTCGGTCTTTCGCAAATGATCACAAATTCCTCAGATGATAAAGACTGATAATGATAGAACTTGATGACATTTGGATGATCTTTCATCTTCTTCAGGAAATACACTTCACTTGGTACATCACCGAGGTCTTTATCCTGTTAAAGAACAATTGTAGGAGAATTCGATATCGTTGTTTAGCAAACGAAGGACAACTGTTCGATAGGGTGTCCTAGTACAGTACCCGCTTCTGTCCGCTGTTTCCAAAAAGTGCAGGTGGACAATGCGAAAATGATTACTTTTCTTCATGCTACACAAATCTTTGATACGATCAAAGAACCATTGCTGATTTCACGAAATTTTAGGTAACTTCATTTAATTTTGAAATTCAGACTGGAAATTAATTACCTCTTTGATTCAAAATGGCAATTCAACGTCGTCATGAGTGCAAACGGCTAACAAAATTAATCATTTGATATGTTTGCAACACTCAATTTTCACGGACTGTAAGCTATATCATCTATGCCCAAAACTTCAACCTCGTGGAGTTTCAACGACCTTACTGTTACTCACCTTGCGATACTCACGAACCGTTTTATATTTTACAAATTTCAGGGCGACCTAAGAGAAGAAAAAAATTAACCACTTACATCGATGGTTTTCCTGAAAAATTCAACGGTATGGCTGACAACTAGTAAGATTTGGGCATTTTACTTCATCTCAGAAGCATGCAGGGCAATATGGCAAATAATGCCGAGGATTGTTTGTTTTTGGAAGGAGAGACATTTTGTAAGAATTACCGGTGTTTTTTTGGTTCCTTTTATGGCATAACCCTTGAAAACTCCACCAAATCCACCTTCGCCAATCAAGCCATTTTCGATATAGCAGTATGTCACACCTGAAAGTCAAAAGCAATTGCTTGTTACTACAACTAAATAACTAAAGAAATATGTAAAGTAAAATGGATTTTAGAATAAAAAAGCAAATGCTAAAAAAATAGGTTCGTGATTTCTATAACGTGAGAATCGACTTGCCTTTTGACTTGCAAACTTCAACCAGGTTTTCCCCATCGACAACTCTAGTGACGCGTGGCACATTTGAAGGTTGGGAAGGTTTGACTTGGCTTTCTTTCATGATTTTCCACTTGATGAGTTTTTCTTTCAAAATGTTACGTTTTCTCTTCACGTCATAGATGCTTGGAATATAAATTGAAAATTTTTGTGAGGGAATATATTTAATAAATACAGCTGTTGTTAACTTGTTTGTTTACTTTACGGACTGCATGTAGCTACACCATCTTAAATTATCAATAAATACCGCGCCTACCTTTCATTTGTGCTATCTGGAACTGCAGTTGAGCAAGATTGAAGCTATATATAAAAACATAAAGAATATCGTTATGGTTAGTGAGTTGACTTGTGCTTATTGTGTTTCTATTTAATTGCATTAATATCAAAATATTATTGAACAAAACTTGTTAGAATCAAAAGTACTGAAGTTTGCCGATCTTTCATTGTTATTTTTGAGATAAATTTAATCTTCAAAAAGAGTTTTGGATAAGCTGCTCATTTCTTACCATTTGTTGAGACGACTGTGAGATTTGGAAGAGTTCACCGGCAGAATGTTGGTTTCCACTGTGTATTAATGAAAATGAAGAATATTTAGTTAAAGAATGAAAGATGAAGAATATCGCATTTAGAAATTGCTGCCCTATTTTTTACCACCTAATTGTCGGTACAAACATGAAGCTAAATATTTGTCGACGTATATAATAGAGGGTGCCCAGAAATATTGCGCTAAGTTAAAGATAGGCGCAAACAGGGGCGTGTTTTAAATTTTGGTCGAGGCTGGCGCACACTTAGCAATTTTCCGCGGCCCTTGGATGACCCCACTAAATTCGGCTTAGAAAACGCATCATAAAACCCTCAAACTATAGCACTTTGAAAGACTGAAATCTTAGATAAATAAAATCTTACCAATCCCAGGAATACTCCATGTCAAAGAAGCGTAAAAACTGAAATAGTAAATAGTAAAAAGTCTGGTTAAGTGGAGAGTTGAACTGACTTCTCAAACTCAAACAGCAAAGACGCGCCTTTGAAATAATAACATGTGTTATTTCAATATCTCATAACCATACTACTTCCTAGAATATTTATGCACGGATTTTACAACATCAACTAGAGTAATTTCCTTTGTTTCAAATCATGAATTATATCAGGAAAAATTAGAATACAACCTAAAATTATGCAACTGTTTAGGAGATCAATATACACGTGATAAAAAAGCAAACTTATTTTTCAATTGATAATAAAAAATTCTTTACCTCAGAATACTCCGAGATTTGAGACGCGTTTACGTAATCAAATGAACACTGGACACTACCAGCACTAAAAACGATATTTTGTATTAATGTAGGGGACTTGAAGTGGTAAAAGTCTGTAACCTCACCAAATAAAAGAACAGGTTTATATATTCAGAAGGTAAATCAATTACGTTTATTTACGTCTTATATTACGTAATATATTAAGTTTTACTCATGCATCCCAAATTCAAGCCAGGAATAGTCGAGAAAAAAGTTGTCAGGTATCGTTGCCTTGTTAGAATTCAAACCTACGCCTTTGCGATGCCGACATTACCATCGTAAATACACACTAACAACGCTCGCTCCTATGAGCTTCCCGTGTAGCTCAATAGCAAGATCATTGCACCGGCGCGTCATAAAGGAGAAGGTTTGATTTCTGCGGAAGGCCATTTCTCAAAGGCATCGGAAAGTTTGCTAAATTTTTTTCTCCTACTGACACTAGAATAAGTTCAGCATAAACTTAACATCTCCCCCTTGCGTTGAAAGATGAGGGTAGCTAAATGAGTAAGAAGCGCTTGTATGGTTTGTCGTGACGCAAGGAATACCTTTTTATTATTATACTTTATAATAAAATATTACGTATTATTATCATCGTTATTTTTTCGTATCACAGATGAATAATATTTCCCCAAAATGAAGACAAACACGTGTCAATATAATAAACATTTACTTATGTTATAGCTAGACGCAATGTAAATAAAGATCATACCTCAGAGATCTCTCAAACGTTTCTTCTTCAAACGAAAATACTGATTCCTCCTGTGAAAATTAGAACGTTTATAAGCTTAATAAATTACTGCTTTAATTCCCGATTTCCAATCCATTCTTAAAATCACAGAACCGTCCACAAAAGAAAATAACTAATTCATACCTTATAGGAGATCCGAGAATCATTAGAATTCATATTCCTGGACAGAGGGGAAAGAAAAAATGCATGAATAATGTTAAAAAGTTTTAAACAAAAATTCCCTTAAAGATCGAAGCGCAGTCTTAAACGTTTAGAGAGGAATGAGAAACACGCAGAACGCAATTCTAGGCCATTCATACGCTTAAATGAAAAATGTTATACAAAAATTCTTATTACAAAGCCGTATACAAGATGTATGAGAGAATTTTTAAACTTTGGCTTATTCATGCACCGTTTAAGCTAAACGCCTTTCGAACAACCGCTCCCAGAAAGTTTGCTAAATTTTTTGTCCTACTAACAGAAAAAAAAATTCCATATAAACTAAACATCTCCCCTTGCGTTGAAAGATGAGGGTGGCTAAATGAGTAAGAAGCACTTGTATGGTTTGTCGTGACGCAAGGAATACCTTTTTATTATTATACTTTATAATAAAATATTACGTATTATTATCATCGTTAATTTTCGTATCACAGATGAATAATATTTCCCCAAAATGAAGACAAACACGTGTCAATATAATAAAACATCCTTATGTATAGCTAGACGCAATGTAAATAAAGATCATACCTCAGAGATCTCTCAAACGTTTCTTCTTCAAACGAAAATACTGATTCCTCCTGTGAAAATTAGAACGTTTATAAGCTTATTAAAGTACTGCTTTAATTCCCGATTTCCAATTCATTCTTAAAATCACAGAGCCGTCCACAAAAGAAAATAACTAATTCATACCTTATAGGAGATCCGAGAATCATTAGAATTGATATTCCTGGACAGAGGGGAAAGAAAAAATGCGTGAATAATGTTAAAAAGTTTTAAACGTTTAGAGAGTGAGGCCCCCAAAACACGCAGAACCCAATTCTAGGCCATTCATACGCTAAATGTAAAGATGTTACAAAAAAATTCTTATTACAAAGCCGTGAATTGACGTGGAACGGGCGTTTGGATTTACGCGCGCGTTTTTATTTGCGCGTGCATTTACTTTGTTCGTTCCGCTGAACTGCGTGTTTAAGTATAATTTTTATTTCCATTTCTTAAATCAAATCTCAAAACCAGTTTACGTTGTCGATTTCGACGGTGAACTAAATTCTCTTCCTTCCGAAACACAAGCGGAACTGTGTAAACACTTTCTCTCTTATATTTTATAAATTAAGCCACTTAATAATACGCAAAATGAATTAAAACAAAAAATATATGTAAACCACAATTATTTTTACACTAAACAATAAAATCTTAAATATACTTACATATTTTCTCGATAATTTCAATGTAGAATATTGAACAGCAATATAACAACGCCTTTGAAAACAATTTGCAACGAACTAACTTCGCGAAATGTGAACCTCTCGAAAAATTTCGACAAGTGAGCGGTCCTTTGTTGACGTAGATAATTAATACTTTTGCACCCGCGAGTTTTGGTGAGCAAGCGAGACATTGAGTCAGCGTTCGCGATTACGTCGTAATATGGAAAATGTTATAGTATAAATAAGTACATATAATTATTTTATGTAAGTACATATTTATGCTGAAGTATGCAATCTACAATCTTGTGGTAATGTACAAAGATTTCTTAAGCCTCGTTGACTCTCATTTACACCAGAGCGTTCAAAAGTGCCTATAAATACTAGTGATTCTCTTCAAAGGTGATTTATCTTGAGCCATTTAGCCGAACATCAGATTTACAGTCCTGTTCGTCGTTTTACATTAGGCCACGAGTTGTTAAATTCAAAATTATAATGTATCTTCAGAATGTGTGCAAGGAAAAAGTTCTGTTTTAAAACATTCGGCGGTTTAATTGAACTTACTCAAGAAACCTTTTGCTCAGATTTCATATTTTTAGCTTTAGGAACCTATCTACAGGTCTGTACCAATTCTGGCATCATTGCGATTTTTGGCTGTGCTCTTTTTCCGGAAGAACTTTAGCAGTTGTTGTCTTGTAGAAGCGAGGTCTGCAAGGTTGCTTGCTACAATCATGCAACAACTAAGTCTTCCATACTCAAAAGATCCACAGAAAATTTCTGTGTGATGATCTTTGAAAGGAGGTATTTTATTCTTTATACATAAAGAACATCCCCTTACAATATTGTGTGCTTCGTCGAAGATGATAATACTCTTTGAAATATCAATGTCGTTTGATTGCATGACTATATTAAAGAGGAAAACTTTGTTGGATATATTTAATATATCTTGACCAATTCAGCTGAATGAGCTATCCCTACAGATACAGGCTCGATGCTAGGGGGGAGGGGATGGTAGGTATACGAAGATACTGATCTCTTACGTTCAAAAGAATGCATGCAGGCTTATGGATTCAAAAATACATACCAAGCAACTCGCGGTAAATATTTAAAACCGCTTCTTTTCACGAGAGTGAATTTTTTTAGGCGAAAATCGGCTTTAAAAGCAGTCAAATCGAAGAGTCGAGTCAAATACCTTTGTATCGATTAAATAATTGTACGGCATGAATACAATGTCAGCATTTTTCACAAATGGAATTTTTCACAGATGAAATAAGGACAGCGACTATAAAAATAATAAATATATCAAAACGATCAGGCTCAAAATGACTTACACGAACTTGTCGCATTTATTGTCACCTTTCTTTCTTCCCAAGTCGAACAAGATCCTCAATATCCAAAATCTCCGATGCCAACTCTTTTGTACAGGAATCATCTACAACAAGAGATACAGAAATTAACAATAAGTTCTTTTTAAATGAGCTTGTTAGGCATGCAATAAAATGCAGGCCCGTTCTAGACGTCGGACTTTTTATGTGCCGAATTGAATGCAAAAACAGACTAAAGACTCTAGGTTCCGAACATGAATGGACCATATAAATTCATCACTCTAGTTAGATTGACAGGGGAAAGCCCTCAAATTTAAAGTGTCTATTTGCAAGGGAAATACCAAACAATCTCTGACGATACTGTATTCGCCAATGGCAATGGCCGAATAGCCAAATAAAAACACTTCTTAGTGGTAGTACCTTGTTCAAGCATATTATAGTAATGACACGTCTTTGATAACACTTTCGTACGGCAAAAATGCCTGTAAAAATAGTAAAAACAACCTTCATGAACTGTGGGGATTATTTTAAGGGCAAAATATCCCGAGCGTGGTTATACTACTACCTATGCACCTATACTGTAGATAGTGAATTATTCAGTTTATCGACCTGGCAAGAAAATGGGTATATGGTATGTATTTCAGCTACAAGCCTGTTTACCAACGAAGTCATTTATACTTGCCTTGGCCGTGTGTGTTTCTTGTTCAGGAACCTGGGGATGAATGCACAGCTGGTCACGTGATCCTAGCACGCATACTTTCGGTCTGAAACAAAAATAAATAGAAAACGTCAATTTCAAATTTTCCTCACAGTTAAAATCTTAGTTTCCCGGTTGAACTCAGCACTCAGGCTTCATGTTAATCGTGTTACCCTGCGTTGTTTTTGCGCTCGGGTTTGAGGCTGTGAATGCCGGGCTTAATTCAACCTCAAGCCAGTTGAAATTTGAAAATGCCTTATATCATATGAGCCGCGAGTATAATTAACTTACTTGTAAACTGTACTCTTCAGTTCATTTACGACTTGTGTAAGTTGTGAATGAGTTCTTGATGTGTAGATGATTTTTGGGATTAAATATTCGGGAGATTAATAGAGAAAAAATATATCAGGAAGCTTCTCGGTTAGAATATTTAGCTGAATGTGAGCTAGATAAGCAGGATATGCTCACATCCAAATAATCAAAGAAACAATAGCTATACGCGTTTATAAATATATTATTATAAATATGGCGGTGAATATATTATTGTGAAGTGATAAAAAATATTATGAACGAGTACATTTTAAAAGACAAACAGGTTGACCTATGGCAAAATTATCTTGTTTATTTGACGTCAGATCGTTTGATAAAAGGCTATATAAAGGCTCATTGCAGAAATCTTAAAGAATATAAAGCAAACAAGTAAGAAAATCTTTGAAATTACATTGTACTTTCTGAGCGCATGTAAAACACAATTGCTCATACTACATCATTTCTGTTGTTTGGTCATGCGATGAAAAAACGTGCAGCTATTGGTTCTTTGATTAATTATAGTCTCTAGCCCGCATTCTGATTGGTTCCTGAGGTCGCTACAGTTTCTCCATTTTGGCGCGAAATCGTAACATTCGCATTTTAGATCCGCCGTTGAGAAGTATATCAGCAAAATGTTTACTATTTTTCGCTTGGTAAGAAATATAATATCAATATTACAATTTCAACCGGGTTCCTCTTCACCATTTTTACATTTTTAGCCCTTTGTTTCATTGAAAATGTGGAATATTCCTAAACAAGTTCGAAATTCTAATTATTGAAAATGGCAACAAAATCTAAAAGCAACACATACGCCATTTTTCAGGTAAACATAATTTCATCAGATTATATGAAGATTCATGAAGATGTTGTTTTGAAATTGTGTTTTTTCTAACCTTTTACAGTAAGTTGTGTCTTGTTATTAAGGGCAAAAATCACAATGTAAACAAAGTTATACGAAAGTTGAATGACTTCAGAAACCCGTTGCGCTTGCAATTTTCGTTAAAAATCGTTCCGTGTATCAATTTCGAGACTTAAATTATAGGCTGAACAGAAGAATACCTGAACTATAGATCTCGCTACTTTATTTTCATAAAAAACTTGACCAAATGCCCTTATGGACTTTATGCCCAGATAATAGGCAATATATATGCGTTCAAATCAGACTCACATTTTACAATAGTTTACCTTCACTTCACTTTACATTTACGGATTTTACCTTCACTTTCTTCTGACATCCAGCCATCAGCAGCATGCCCAAGGTTTCTTTCTAAATCATCACAAAACTGGCCACTTGCTTTATTTTCTTGAACCTTCATACTCAGTTGCAAGCGAGCCACAAATGTGTCTCTCCAGGCCAGTGTTGCACAAAGTAAACATAATGTCTTTCCAGTTCCTGTTGGTGATTCTAAGATACCATTTTTACCCTGAAAATGGTAGGATGTTATTGTCTGGAGAAAGCTGGCTATTGGTGTTATAATGTATGGGGGTGGTATGGTGGGGGTGAGCCACATATAACACCTCCCCACCTAGGTTTTTTAGTAATTGTTGATATCCCTTAACACCTGATGATATTGATCATTAATTATATTTTAGCAACATTTAGTACAAAACTTTGAACTTTAAAGATGGAGGAGCAAAGGTAAGATATTATAACACAAGACAAATAAAATAGTAGACACAAAACTTGATGCAAATAAAAATCATTATATTTCGGGGAATTAATCGCCAGATAATGTGCTGCTATAATTTTCAATTTTTCATTCTTGCGGCAACTGTCAGGTAAAATTCTTTTGTTTGTACCAAAGTCGAAATGATAGAAATTAGAGACCTGGATGTACAAGACATTAAGGGGCTGTTTACATGAGCCCTACAGGAAGGGAGGGCTAGCCCAACCTGTAGGGCTGTTTTTCACCTCTGTTTACATGCAAAATTCTAACCCCACATCTACGGCTGAGTCTGGACGGCACATTTTGGCACCAAAAACAAAATGGCTGGCACCAAAAAAAAAACACAAAATTGTTATTTTCACTATATCATTTAAAATATCTTTACTTTTCCTAATGATTTTTCAACAGTATACCCTGTTATTGCCTCGAAAAATTAATGAAGAAAGCTGGAACCGTCAAATAGTGTCATCGCTGACGTCAAATCTTTTGCTAGCTGGCCCTGTTACGTTTACATGGAAAATTTCTAGCCCAACCAGGTGAGATCTCGCCTGGTAGGGTTGGCCCTCCTCTAATGAAAACAAAATTTTTCTTTAGTATGGATTCATAGTAGCATGAGCTATCGCGCTTGGTAGGGCTAGCTAGCCTTCCCTATAGGGCTCATGTAAACAGCCCTCAAGTGATTTTTTAAAAATATACATTGGCTGGTAAATCTGAAGATTTTTGTGTGGGTTAGTGCACCAGGAAACAAAATTGTGAAATGCAGACATTTTAAGATTTTGGTGCTTTCTTTTCTAATTGATTAATGATTAACAAAGACTAAATTTAATGCAAAAATATTTCTGGAATGGATCGAGATTAATAATAGCTGATATTCATGGAAATTTTTTGATCATCTTCTGCAACTGTTCACGCTATACCCTTTTTAAAATGCAGGAACAAAACGTGTTATTTGTGACTTTATATCACCAAGAGTACTGTACAGTCTGTACTACATAAACATTGAGTCAAAATGCATTAATCAAGAGTCAAGAGATAAGAGAATAGGAATGCATCAGTGTCGATGTGTCAGCGATTAAAAACTAACAAGAATCGTACCGACTCTCATAATCATCTGAGACAAGGTCTATGTTATTAAACACTATCAAAATTCAAAACAAAATAATTATAAAATGTAGGCGAACCAACCTCTTGCAAACATTCAATAACTTTGCTCATGTAGTTTACTTGGCAGTCGTAAGGCTTGTACGGGAAATCAATTTCGACTCCCCGTACCTTGATCACTGGCATGATTGAACGGTGAGTCTAAAATACTACATTTTGTTGCAAAAGTATTCGCCTTAAAATTCTACAAAGTAACAAAAGCAAACGATCATGAGCAAATGCTTATTTTTTTCACAATTTGCGCCATTTGTCTTCGTTAGTACTCAGTCTTCTCAGGACGGGCACTGAACTCATGCTTAACCAGGATGGTTGAATAACTTGTAAAATAGCGGTAAAGTCTGTAATCTAAGAGCTAAAAGCTAGCTTAAACTCCACTGAACCTGAAATAGATCTTATGCATAATGGCGTATCAAGCCGTGACGCCTGCAGAGAATTCTTGTTTTAGTAGTCACTGCGAAAAATTCAAACTTACAATGCTATCATATAATGATATATATTCATAATTTCATGCACTTAACAACTATTTACAATGATGTTTGCAATTGATCTTATACAAACATTTGCACAGCCTGTTCTCTAAACTAGTTTTAATGCTCCTTTACTCTCCTGCAATCACAGTCAGACCATTGGTCTTATAATGGCCGAGAGTTCTCAGCAGAATACTCTCAGACGATTCATAGGTAATTGTCGACACTTTCTGGTTGATCAAAGCAGCTCTCTGCCAGTGGCTGCCACATGGTGATGTTAACTTTCTCCGGAATGGTGCAGGTCAGGTGAATTTCCAACTTCGATTGATCGACCATTGAAGGAGGAGAGTACCAAAAAGAACAATTGGCACTAGCATGATTGACCAATTACCGAGAACATGAATAAGTTCATAGCTGTATAAGTTCAGAGCATTAGCTTAGTTCGTCAACACTGCTCGCAAATATGTTCTTCCTACTGGCCACCAATGAGATGTCTTATTTGATGGCAGAATGGTATGACAAGATATTCAGCTTGGCGTTCGTGGCTCCGGGTTCGCGAAAACGGAGCTGGCTCCGAGTTCGCGAACCGGTTTCATACAAACCGATGTGGCCGCTTCGCTTCTGCTTTTAAGGCTATATTGTTAAGAACATGGCCGAAAATGAGAGTTTTATTTCATTTAGTTTGCTCGCAATAGCTCCGTAAAGTTGGCTAATTTTTGCACAAAGTTGACTGGTCAGCGGCATGGGCGACGGCAAGGCTTTATAAAAGTTCGATTTACTAGCTTAGTTTTTGTAAAAACCAAAAGATGGCGATTCGAGAGAAAGCTTATGAGAATATCTTCTAGCTTGCGAAATCACGACAAGCAACTTGTTTAAAGTCTAGCAATTTGATTTCATGCACGTACCCGTGATATAAATGTAATCCCTTCGCGAAGGCAACTAACCCGGTTTCTGCAAATTTTTGTTTTTCCACATAGGTTTTTCCACATATGATCAATGTCAATGTAAATGTCTGTATGTCAATATAACATTTGATCATATGACATTTACATTGACATTGATCATATGACATTTACAGTTCAATAAACCTATGTGGAAAAACGCAGTAACCGGGCTAGTTGCCTTCGCGAAGGGATCCGGATTAAAATTTATGTCACGGGTGCGTGCATGAAATCAGACGGCTACAGAAGTTGCCTGTCGTGTTTTCGCAAGCTAGAAGGTTAGAAGTATAAGGATATTCTCATAAGCTGTCTCTCGAATGGCCATCTTTGAGTTTTTACAAAAACTCGTCGTAAAGCTAGTAAATCGAACTTTTATAAAGCTGCCGCTGACCAGTCAACTTTGCGCCAACTTTAAAAAAAGCCAACTTTACGGAGCTACTAAATAAGACTCTCATTTTCGGCCATGTTCTTAAGAATATATATAAAAAAGAAAAATTAAGGCCTTTTTAAATTTTTCGATTTCCAAAGCGAAGCGGCCACATCGGCTTGTATGAAAACTAACCACTCCAGCTCCGTTTTCGCGAACCCGGAGCCACAAGCCTGGAGCTGAATATCCTGTCATCAGAATGGTAACTACTGGTCGCAATGGCTGGCCGGCTCATCGACAGTGATCGGCCATTCCTGGTAATTTTCTTCCATAGACGTCTCCAACAATTCCTGACTGTTTATCTGGGATTGGTTCGATGACTGGCCAACAGATGACTGGCCACTGATTGTTGGCGATTTGCTTCCAGCTGTTTGGTGAAGAGCCTGGAATGACGTTTGTTTGGCCATGGCCACGGCAGAGACGTCGTACGAACCACGACGTCTGTGGAAAATACGACGGAAAAAGGATGACAGTCGTTCAGTAAATGAACGCTTTACTCGCAACCTTAAAGAGAAAAAAACATAATTTCTATAATTGTTGCTATAGACCCCTAATCCTGATGATTTGAAGAATATTGTCATGCTAATAGACACAGCAAAACAACTTTCACAACAACACAGCCTTGTTTCAAAGCGTAAACGATTAGACAGAATTTATACAGAATTCAATATCTCATAAAGCGTAAACGATTAGACAGAAATAACGTTGCAAAGACTTCGCAACCAGCAAAGGTGGATAGTAACAAACATCTAATGATCTAACAACTCAGTATTCAACATCAGTACATCAGTAAAGCACGTTTACATCGTCGCTGCGACCACTGACTAGGAACCTAGGCATATTGTTGCACTATTTCGGGATCACACCGTCTCCGAAATACATATTGATATTAGTTGAAGGTGAAGTTACTCACCAGGAGTGCTTTGCAACTTTTTTTATACTGGTCGGGCCGCTGGGTCCATGCTAAATAATTTTCTCATTAGGTCTTGCAAATCTACAGATAAATTCGAATCAAAATCCTGGATGGCCTTGTCGTATATATGAGAAAAACGAAAAAACAACAAGCAAGATTTAAATATTCTTAGCAACAACGGTTGGTGTGATTGATATGCATTCCAACTTCAAAAGGGAATTCGGGAATATATGTATGAATGCTGATCTCTATATTTTCCGGCTTTCTCTAACCTGTTATAATTTCATGAATTTAACTCACCTTCAGATAAATCATCCAGTTTTGGCGGTCCTGATATAACATCTGCAAATGTTGTGTAATCCGTAAAAGCTGGTTCGCCGTGCAACATTTCATATATCATGACTCCAATAGACCGCACAGCTTCCTTGCAAGGATCATACAATTCATGCAGAATGTATTCTGGAGGCATATTGTATGGAGTGCCTGAGGGAATAAAACATGTACAATGCAATTAACCAGTCTTTTTGAATGGAATAAAACTACTAAGCAATGACCGGAAAAGTTGAAATTTAAGAAAATGAGAAATATTACTGGGGTTGATAGTTTTACAACAGATTAAACCTGACTAAAATTAAAGCCAGTATTTTGAAACCTGAAAAAGTAAATTCTCACAGGTTCGATCAAGGATTTTTAACAATGTAGCTGATGAATTGCTACTTTGGAAGAGAAATTGGAAAGACAAATTTGTTTTATGATAACAAAATCTCACGCTAAAGGTGCATGGGAACGGAATTTGGTGATTAAAACTCAGACAACAGAGATAACAACCTCGTACCCAGGGTCTTTTTACCTCCGCTCCAAGGCCCGCGCTGGTACGAGGTTGCAGAGGTAAATTATTCATGACATTCCAGGAAAGTTTACTCACCACAGAATGCGTCAACTAGGTTGCCAGGTTTATTATAGCCTGCAAATCCAAAATCAAGCAACTTGATTTCACCAGTATCAAAATCATAAAGGATGTTCTCCAATTTCAGATCACGATGAACGATGTTCTTCTTGGACATCGCCAATACAACGTTGACCAACTTCTTCATGCATTGTTGAGTTTCATCCTCGGTGAAGAAACCTCCAACGTCCCACATGAGGCTTCGGAGATCTTTGCAATGAGTCGGTCTTTCGCAAATGATCACAAATTCCTCAGATGATAAAGACTGATAATGATAGAACTTGATGACATTTGGATGATCTTTCATCTTCTTCAGGAAATACACTTCACTTGGTACATCACCGAGGTCTTTATCCTGTTAAAGAACAATTGTAGGAGAATTCGATATCGTTGTTTAGCAAACGAAGACAATTGTTCGATAGAGTGTCCTAGTACAGTACCCGCTTCTGTCCGCTGTTTCAAAAGTGGAGGTGCACAATGCGAAAATGATTACTTTTCTTCATGCTACACAAATCTTTGATACGATCAAAGAACCATTGCTGATTTCACGAAATTTTAGGTAACTTAATTTAATTTTGAAATTCAGACTGGAAATTAGATACCTCTTTGATTCAAAATGGCAATTCAACGTCGTCATGAGTGCAAACGGCTAACAAAATTAATCATTTAATATGTTTGCAACACTCAATTTTCACGGACTGTAAGCTATATCATCTCCTATGCCCCTAAAACTTCAACCTCGTGGAGTTTCTACGACCTTACTGTAACTCACCTTGCGATACTCACGAACCGTTTTATAATCTATAAATTTCAGGGCGACCTAAGAGAAGAAAAAAATTAACCACTTACATCGATGGTTTTCCTGAAAAATTCAACGGTATGGCTGACAACTAGTAAGATTTGGACATTTTACTTCATCTCAGAAGCATGGAGGGCAATATGGCAAATAATGCCGAGGATTGTTTGTTTTAGGAAGAAGAGACATTTTGTAAAAATTACCGGTGTTTTTTTGGTTCCTTTTATGGCATAACCCTTGAAAACTCCACCAAATCCACCTTCGCCAATCAAGCCATTTTCGATATAGTAGTATGTCACACCTGAAAGTCAAAAGCAATTGCTTGTTAATACAACTAAATAACTAAAGAAATATGTAAAGTAAAATGGATTTTAGAATAAAAAAACAAATGCTAAAAAAATAGGTTCGTGATTTCTATAACGTTAGAATCGACTTGCCTTTTGACTTGCAAACTTCAACAAGGTTTTCCCCATCGACAACTCTAGTGACGCGTGGCACATTTGAAGGTTGGGAAGGTTTGACTTGGCTTTCTTTCATGATTTTCCACTTGATGAGTTTTTCTTTCAAAATGTTACGCTTTCTCTTCACGTCATAGATGCTTGGGAATATAAATTGAAAATTTTTTTAATAGATCTAAATTGAGGAGTGTAATGGGAATATTTTAATAAATACAGCTGTTGTTAACTTGTTTGTTTACTTTACGGACTGCATGTAGCTACACCATCTTAAATTATCAATAAATACCGCGCCTACCTTTCATTTGTGCTATCTGGAAATGCAGTTGAGCAAGATTGAAGCTATAAACATAAAGAATATCGTTATGGGTTAGTGAGTTGACTTGTGCTTATTGTGTTTCTATTTTATTGCATTAATATCAAAATATTATTGAACAAAAACTTGTTAGAATCAAAAGTACTGAAGTTTGCCGATCTTTCATTGTTATTTTTGAGATAAATTTAATCTTCAAAGAGAGTTTTGGATTGTAAGCTGCTCATTTCTTACCATTTGTTGAGACGACTGTGAGATTTGGAAGAGTTCACCGGCAGAATGTTGGTTTCCACTGTGTATTAATGAAAATGAAGAATATTTAGTTAAAGAATGAAAGATGAAGAATATCGCATTTAGAAATTGCTGCCCTATTTTTTACCACCTAATTGTCGGTACAAACATGAAGCTAAATATTTGTCGACGTATATAATAGAGGGTGCCCAGAAATATTGCGCTAAGTTAAAGATAGGCGCAAACAGGGGCGTGTTTTAAATTTAGCACACTTAGCAATTTTCCGCGGCCATTGGATGGCCCCACTAAATTCGGCTTAGAAAACGCATCATAAAACCCTCAATCTATAGCACTTTGAAAGACTGAAATCTTAGATAAATAAAATCTTACCAATCCCAGGAATACTCCATGTCAAAGAAGCGTAAAAACTGAAATAGTAAATAGTAAAAAGTCTGGTTAAGTGGAGAGTTGAACTGACTTCTCAAACTCAAACAGCAAAGACGCGCCTTTGAAATAATAACATGTGTTATTTCAATATCTCATAACCATACTACTTCCTAGAATATTTATGCACGGATTTTACAACATCAACTAGAGTAATTTCCTTTGTTTCAAATCATGAATTATATTAGGAAAAATTAGAATACAACCTAAAATTATGCAACTGTTTAGAAGATCAATATACACGTGATAAAAAAGCAAACTTATTTTTCAATTGATAATAAAAAATTCTTTACCTCAGAATACTCCGAGATTTGAGACGCGTTTACGTAATCAAATGAACACTGGACACTACCAGCACTAAAAACGATATTTTGTATTAATGTAGGGGACTTGAAGTGGTAAAAGTCTGTAACCTCACCAAAAAAAAGAACAGGTTTATACATTCAGAAGGTAAATCAATTACGTTTATTTAAGTCTTATATTACGTAATATATTAAGTTTTACTCATGCATCCCAAATTCAAGCCAGGAATAGTCAAGCAAAAAGTTGTCAGGTACCGTTGCCTTGTTAGAATTCAAACCTACGCCTTTGCGATGCCGACATTACCATCGTAAATACACACTAACAACGCTCGCTCCTATGAGCTACCCGTGTAGCTCAAAAAAAAGATCATTGCACCGGCATCATAAAGGAGAAGGTTTGATTTCTGCCGAAGGCCATTTCTCACAGGCATCGGAAAGTTTGCTAATTTTTTTCTCCTGCTGACACTAGAACAAATCCAGCATAAACTTAACATCTCCCCCTTGCGTTGAAAGATGAGGGTAGCTAAATGAGTAAGAAGCGCTTGTATGGTTTGTCATGACGCAAGGAATACCTTTTTATTATTATACTTTATAATAAAATATTACGTATTATTATCGTCGTTATTTTTTCGTATCACAGATGAATAATATTTCCCCAAAATGAAGACAAACACGTGTCAATATAATAAAACATCCTTATGTTATAGCTAGACGCAATGTAAATAAAGATCATACCTCAGAGATCTCTCAAACGTTTCTTCTTCAAACGAAAATACTGATTCCTCCTGTGAAAATTAGAACGTTTATAAGCTTATTAAAGTACTGCTTTAATTCCCGATTTCGAATGCATTTTTAAAATCACAGAACCGTCCACCAAAGAAAAACACTAATTCATACCTTATAGGAGATCCGAGAATCATTAGAATTCATATTCCTGGACAGAGGCGAAAGAAAAAATGCATGAATAATGTTAAAAAGTTTTAAACAAAAATTCCCTTAAAGATCGAAGCGCAGTCTTAAACGTTTAGAGAGTGAGAAACACGCAGAACGCAATTCTAGGCCATTCATACGCCTATAAATATGAAGATGTTACACAAAAATTCTTATTACAAAGCCGTATAAAAGATGTATGAGAGAATTTTTAAACTTTGGCTTATTCATGAACCGTTTAAGCTAAACGCCTTTCGAACAACCGCTCCCAGAAAGTTTGCTAAATTTTTTGTGCTACTGGCACCAAAAAAAATTCCATATAAACTTAACATCTCCCCCTTGCGTTGAAAGATGAGGGTAGCTAAATGAGTAAGAAGCACTTGTATGGTTTGTCGTGACGCAAGGAATACCTTTTTATTATTTATACTTTATAATAAATATTACATATTATTATCATCGTTATTTTTTCGTATCACAGGTGAATAATATTTGCCCAAAATGAAGACAAACACGTGTCAATATAATAAAACATCCTTATGTTATAGCTAGACGCAATGTAAATAAAGATCATACCTCAGAGATCTCTCAAACGTTTCTTCGTCAAACGAAAATACTGATTCCTCCTGTGAAAATTAGAACGTTTATAAGCTTATTAAAGTACTGCTTTAATTCCCGATTTCCAATTCATTCTTAAAATCACAGAACCGTCCACAAAAGAAAATAACTAATTCATACCTGATAGGAGATCCGAGAATCATTAGAATTCATATTCCTGGACAGAGGGGAAAGAAAAAATGCATGAATAATGTTAAAAAGTTTTAAACAAAAATTCCCTTAAAGATCGAAGCGCAGTCTTAAACGTTTAGAGAGTGAGAAACACGCAGAACGCAAATCTAGGCCATTCATACGCTTAAATATGAAGATGTTACACAAAAATTCTTATTACAAAGCCGTATACAAAATGTATGAGAGAATTTTTAAACTTTGGCTTATTCATGCACCGTTTAAGCTAAACGCTTTTCGAACAACCGCTCCCAGAAAGTTTGCCAAATTTTTTGTCCTACTGACACAAGAAAAATTCCATATAAACTTAACATCTCCCCCTTGCGTTGAAAGATGAGGGTAGCTAAATGGGTAAGAAGCACTTGTATGGTTTGTCGTGACGCAAGGAATGCCTTTTATTATACTTTATAATAAAATACGTATTATTATCATCGTTATTTTTTCGTATCACAGATGAATAATATTTGCCCAAAATGAAGACAAACACGTGTCAATATAATAAAACATCCTTATGTTATAGCTATACGCAATAAATATCATACCTCAGAGATCTCTCAAACGTTTCTTCTTCAAACGAAAATACTGATTCCTCCTGTGAAAATTAGAACGTTTATAAGCTTAATAAAGTACTGCTTTAATTCCCGATTTCCAATTCATCCCTAAAATCACAGAGCCGTCCACAAAAGAAAATAACTAATTCATACCTTATAGGAGATCCGAGAATCATTAGAATTGATATTCCTGGACAGAGGGGAAAGAAAAAATGCATGAATAATGTTAAAAGTTTTAAACGTTTAGAGAGTGAGGCCCCCAAAACACGCAGAACCCAGTTCTAGGCCATTCATACGCCTAAATGTAAAGATGTTACACAAAAATTCTTATTACAAAAGCGTGAATTGACGTGGAACGGGCGTTTGGATTTACGCGCGCGTTTTTATTTGCGCGTGCATTTACTTTGTTCGTTCCGCTGAACTGCCGTGTTTAAGTATAATTTTGATTTCCATTTTTTAAATCAAATCTCAAAACCAGTTTACGTTGTCGATTTCGACGGTGAACTAAATTCTCTTCCTTTCGAAACACAAGCGGAACTGTGTAAACACTTCTTTCTCCTTATATTTTATAAATTAAGCCACTTAATAATACGCAAAATGAATTAAAACAAAAAATATATGTAAACCACAATTATTTTTACACTAAACAATAAAATCTTAAATATACTTACATATTTTCTCGATAATTTCAATGTAGAATATTGAACAGCAATATAACACGCCTTTGAAAACAATTTGCAACGAACTAACTTCGCGAAATGTGAACCTCTCGAAAAATTTCGACAAGTGAGCGGTCCTTGTTGACGTAGATAATAATACTTTTGCGCCCGCGAGTTTTGGTGAGCAAGCGAGACACTGAGTCAGCGTTCGCGATTACCTCGTAATATGGAAAGTATAGTATAAATAAGTACCTATAATTATTTTATGTAAGTACATATTTATGCTGAAGTATGCAATCTACAATCTTGTGGTAATGTACAACGATTTCTTAAGCCTCGTTGACTCTCATTTACACCAGAGTGTTCAAAAAGTGCCTATAATATACGTAGTGATTCTTTCTTCAAAGGTGATTTATCTTGAGCCATTTTAGCCGAACATCAGATTTACAGTCCTGTTCGTCGTTTTACATTAGGCCACGAGTTGTTAAATTCAAAATTATAATGTACTTCAGAATGTGTGCAAAGGAAAAAGTTCTGTTTTAAAACATTCGGCGGTTAATTGAACTTACTCAAGAAACCTTTTGCTCAGATTTCATATTTTTTAGCTTTAGGAACCTATCTACAGGTCTGTACCAATTGTGGCATCATTGCGATTTTTGGCTGTGCTTTTTTCCGGAAGAACTTTAGCAGTTGTTGTCTTGTAGAAGCGAGGTCTGCAGGTTGCTTGCTACAATCATGCAACAACTAAGTCTTCCATACTCAAAAGATCCACAGAAAATTTCTGTGTGATGATCTTTGAAAGGAGGTATTTTATTCTTTATACATAAAGAACATCCCCTTACAATATTGTGTGCTTCGTCGAAGATGATAATACTCTTTGAAATATCAATGTCGTTTGATTGTCATGACTATATTAAAGAGGAAAACTTTGTTGGATATATTTAATATATCTTGACCAATTCAGCTGAATGAGCTATCCCTACAGATACAGGCTCGATGCTAGGGGGGAGGGGATGGTAGGTATACGAAGATACTGATCTCTTACGTTCAAAAGAATGCATGCAGGCTTATGGATTCAAAAATACATACCAAGCAACTCGCGGTAAATATTTAAAACCGCTTCTTTTCACGAGAGTGAATTTTTTTAGGCGGAAAATCGGCTTTAAAAGCAGTCAAATCGAAGAGTCGAGTCAAATACCTTTGTATCGATTAAATAATTGTACGGCATGAATACAATGTCAGCATTTTTCACAAATGGAATTTTTCACAGATGAAATAAGGACAGCGACTATAAAAATAATAAATATATCAAAACGATCAGGCTCAAAATGACTTACACGAACTTGTCGCATTTATTGTCACCTTTCTTTCTTCCCAAGTCGAACAAGATCCTCAATATCCAAAATCTCCGATGCCAACTCTTTTGTACAGGAATCATCTACAACAAGAGATACAGAAATTAACAATAAGTTCCTGTTTAAATGAGCTTGTTAGGCATGCAATAAAATGCAGGCCCGTTCTAGACGTCGGACTTTTTATGTGCCGAATTGAATGCAAAAACAGACTAAAGACTCTAGGTTCCGAACATGAATGGACCATATAAATTCATCACTCTAGTTAGATTGACAGGGGAAAGCCCTCAAATTTAAAGTGTCTATTTGCAAGGGAAATACCAAACAATCTCTGACGATACTGTATTCGCCAATGGCAATGGCCGAATAGCCAAATAAAAACACTTCTTAGTGGTAGTACCTTGTTCAAGCATATTATAGTAATGACACGTCTTTGATAACACTTTCGTACGGCAAAAATGCCTGTAAAAATAGTAAAAACAACCTTCATGAACTGTGGGGATTATTTTAAGGGCAAAATATCCCGAGCGTGGTTATACTACTACCTATGCACCTATACTGTAGATAGTGAATTATTCAGTTTATCGACCTGGCAAGAAAATGGGTATATGGTATGTATTTCAGCTACAAGCCTGTTTACCAACGAAGTCATTTATACTTGCCTTGGCCGTGTGTGTTTCTTGTTCAGGAACCTGGGGATGAATGCACAGCTGGTCACGTGATCCTAGCACGCATACTTTCGGTCTGAAACAAAAATAAATAGAAAACGTCAATTTCAAATTTTCCTCACAGTTAAATCTTAGTTTCCCGGTTGAACTCAGCACTCAGGGCTTCATGTTAATCGTGTTACCCTGCGTTGTTTTTGCGCTCGGGTTTGAGGCTGTGAATGCCGGGCTTAATTCAACCTCAAGCCAGTTGAAATTTGAAAATGCCTTATATCATATGAGCCGCGAGTATAATTAACTTACTTGTAAACTGTACTCTTCAGTTCATTTACGACTTGTGTAAGTTGTGAATGAGTTCTTGATGTGTAGATGATTTTTGGGATTAAATATTCGGGAGATTAATAGAGAAAAAATATATCAGGAAGCTTCTCGGTTAGAATATTTAGCTGAATGTGAGCTAGATAAGCAGGATATGCTCACATCCAAATAATCAAAGAAACAATAGCTATACGCGTTTATAAATATATTATTATAAATATGGCGGTGAATATATTATTGTGAAGTGATAAAAAATATTATGAACGAGTACATTTTAAAGACAAACAGGTTGACCTATGGCAAAATTATCTTGTTTATTTGACGTCAGATCGTTTGATAAAAGGCTATATAAAGGCTCATTGCAGAAATCTTAAAGAATATAAAGCAAACAAGTAAGAAAATCTTTGAAATTACATTGTACTTTCTGAGCGCATGTAAAACGCAATTGCTCATACTACATCATTTCTGTTGTTTGGTCATGCGATGAAAAAACGTGCAGCTATTTGTTCTTTGATTAATTATAGCGTCTAGCCCGCATTCTGATTGGTTCCTGAGGTCGCTACAGTTTCTCCATTTTGGCGCGAAATCGTAACATTCGCATTTTAGATCCGCCGTTGAGAAGTATATCAGCAAAATGTTTACTATTTTTCGCTTGGTAAGAAATATAATATCAATATTACAGTTTCAACCGGGTTCCTCTTCACCATTTTTACATTTTTTAGCCCTTTGTTTCATTGAAAATGTGGAATATTCTTAAACAAGTTCGAAATTCTAATTATTGAAAATGGCAACAAAATCTAAAAGCAACACATACGCCATTTTTCAGGTAAACATAATTTCATCAGATTATATGAAGATTCATGAAGATGTTGTTTTGAAATTGTGTTTTTCTAACCTTTTACAGTAAGTTGTGTCTTAATTGTTATTAAGGGCAAAAATCACAATGTAAACAAAGTTATACGAAAGTTGAACGACTTCAGATTTACCTGTTGCGCTTGGAATTTTCCGTGTATCAATTTCAAGACTTAATTATGGGCTGTACAGAAGGATACCTGAACTATAGTTCTTGGTACTTTATTTTCATTAAAATTTGACCAAATTATGCACTTATGGACTTTATGCCCAGATAATAGGCAATATATATGCGTTCAAATCAGACTCAGATTTTACAATAGTTAACCTTCACTTCACTTTACAATTACCTTCACTTTCTTCTGACATCCAGCCATCAGCTGCTTGCCCAAGGTTTCTTTCTAAATCATCACAAAACTGGCCACTAGCTTTATTTTCTTGAACCTTCATACTCAGTTGCAAGCGAGCCACAAACGTGTCTCTCCAGGCCAGTGTTGCACAAAGTAAACATAATGTCTTTCCAGTTCCTGTTGGTGATTCTAAGATACCATTTTTACCCTAAAAATGCTAGGACGTTATTATCTGCAGAAAGCTGGCTATTTATGTTATAATGTATGGTGGTGGTATGGTGGGGTGAGCCACAATTAGGGGGTGAGACACATATAACACTAAAAGAAAAAAATACACAGCTTTTTATTAATTGTTGATAACTTGACTCATATAATTATGACAAACCCAAAAATAATTTACATTAATACAAACCAACCCTTAACACCTGATGATATATTGATCATTAATTATACTTTAGCAACATTTAGTACAATTTGTACAAAACTTTAAAGATGGACGAGCAAAGGTAAGATATAACAAAAGACAAATAAAATAGTAGACACAAAACTTGATACAAATAAAAATCAATATATTTGGGTGAATTGCCAGATAATGTGTTGCTAAGTTTTTCAAGTTTTCATTCTTGTGGCTAACTGTCAGGTAAAATTCTTTTGTTTGTACCAAAGTCGAAATGATGGAAATTAAAGACATTAAAGGGCTGTTTACCTGAGCCCTACAGGGAGGGAGGGCTAGCCCAACCTGTAGGGCTGTTTTTCACCTCTGTTTACATGCAAAATTCTAGCCCCACATCTACGGCTGAGTCTGGATGGCACAATTTGGCACTAAAAACCAAAATGGCTGGCAAAAAAACCCCACAAAATTGTTATTTTCATTATTTCATTTAAAATATCTTTACTTTTCCTGATGATTTTTCAACAGTATACCTGTTATTGCTTCGAAAAATTAATGAAGAAAGCTGAAACCGTCAAATAGTGTCATCGCTGACATCAAATCTTTAGCTAGCTGCCCCTGTTACGTTTACATGGAAAATTTCCAGCCCTACCAGCTGAGATCTCGAGTATCAATACAAGATCTCCTGGTAGGGCTGGCCCTCCTCTAATGAAAACAAAATTTTTCTTTAGTATGGATTCATAGTAGCACGAGCTATCTGCGTAGGGCTAGCTAGCCTTCCCTATAGGGCTCATGTAAACAGCCCTCAGTGATTTTTTAAAAATATACATTGGCTGGTAAATCTGAAGATTTTGTGTGGGTTAGTGCACCAGGAAGCAAATTGTGAATGCAGACATTTTAAGATTTTGGTCCTTTCTTTTCTAATTGATTAATGTTAACAAGACTAAATTTATTGTAAAAAATTTCTGGAATGGATCCAGATTAATAATAGCTGATATTGGTGGAAATTTTTTGATAATCTTCTGCAATGTTCATGCTATACCTTTTTAAAATGCAGCAACAAAATGTGTTATTTGTGAGTTTATATCACCAAGAGTACTGTACAGTCTGTACTATAAACATTGAGTTAAAATGCAAATCAACAGATAAGAGAATAGGAATGCATTAGAGTCGATCTGTCAGCGATCAGAGACTAACAAGAATTGTACACAAGACTCTCATAATCATCTCAGAGACTCAGACAAGGTCTATGTTAAACACCATCAAAATTCAAAACAAAAAAAAAATGTAGGCGAACCAACCTCTTGCAAACATTCAATAACTTTGCTCATGTAGTTTACTTGGCAGTCGTAAGGCTTGTATGGGAAATCAATTTCGACTCCCCGTACCTTGATCACTGGCATGGTTGAACGGTGAATCTAAAATACTACATTTTGTTGCAAAAGTATTCGACTTTAAATTCTACAAAGTAACAAAAGCAAACGATCATGAGCAAATGCTTATTTTTTTCACAATTTGCGCCATTTGTCTTCGTTAGAACTCAGTCTTCTCAGGACGGGCACTGAACTCATGCTTGACCTGGATGGTTGAATAACTTGTAAAATAGCTGTAAAGCCTGTAATCTGAAAGCTAAAAGCAAGCTTAAACTCAAGTAAACCTGAAATAGATCTTATGCATAATGACGTATCAAGCCGTGACGCCTGCAGGGAATTCTTGCTTTAGTAATCACTGCGAAAAATTCAAACTTACAATGCTATCATATACTGATATATATTCATAACTTCATGCACTTGACAACTATTTACAATGATGTTTGCAATTGATCTTTGCAACAAACATTTACACAGCCTGTTCTCTAAACTAGTTTAATAATGCTCCTTTACTCTCCTGCAGTCACAGTCAGACCATTGGTCTTATAATGGGCGAGAGACTTCTCAGCAGAATCACTCTCAGACGGTTCATAGGTAATTGTCGACACTTGCCGTAACTTTCTGGTTGATCAAAGCAGCTCTCTGCCAGTGGCTTCCACATGGTGATGTTAACTTTCTCCGGAATGGTGCAGGTCAGGTGAATTTCTAACTTCGATTGATCGACCATTGAAGGAGGAGAGTACCAAAAAGAGCAATTGGCACTAGGATAATTGACCAATTACCGAGAACAAGTTCATAGCTGTATAAGTTCAGAGCATTAGCTTAGTTCGTCAACACTGCTCGCAAATATGTTCTTCCTACTGGCCACCAATGAGATGTCTTATTTGATGGCAGAATGGTATGACAGGATATTCAGCTTGGCGTTCGTGGCTCCGGGTTCGCGAAAACGGAGCTGGCTCCGAGTTCGCGAACCGGTTTCATACAAACCGATGTGGCCGCTTCGCTTTTAATGGAATATTGTTAAGAACATGGCCGAAAATGAGAGTTTTATTTCTTTTAGTTTGCTCGCAATAGCTCCGTAAAGTTGGCTAATTTTTGCACAAAGTTGACTGGTCAGCGGCATGGGCGACGGCAAGGCTTTATAAAAGTTCGATTTACTAGCTTAGTTTTTGTAAAAACCAAAAGATGGCGATTCGAGAGAAAGCTTATGAGATATATTCTTCTAGCTTGCGAAATCACGACAAGCAACTTGTTTTAAGTCTAGCAATTTGATTTCATGCACGTACCCGTGATAAATGTAATCCCTTCGCGAAGGCAACTAACCCGGTTTCTGCAAATTTTTGTTTTTCCACATAGGTTTTTCCACATATGATCAATGTCAATGTAAATGTCATATGATCAATATACATTTGATCATATGACATTTACATTGACATTCATCATATGACATTTACAGTTCAATAAACCTATGTGGAAAAACGCAGTAACCGGGCTAGTTGCCTTCGCGAAGGGATCCGGATTAAATTTATGTCACGGGTGCGTGCATGAAATCAGACGGCTACAGAAGTTGCCTGTCGTGTGTTTTCGCAAGCTAGAAGGTTAGAAGTATAAGGATATTCTCATAAGCTGTCTCTCGAATGGCCATCTTTGAGTTTTTACAAAAAACTCGTCGTAAAGCTAGTAAATCGAACTTTTATAAAGCTGCCGCTGACCAGTCAACTTTGCGCCAACTTTAAAAAAAGCCAAATTTACGGAGCTACTAAATAAGACTCTCATTTTCGGCCATGTTCTTAAGAATATATATAAAAAAGAAAAATTAAGGCCTTTTTAAATTTTTCGATTTCAAAAGCGAAGCGGCCACATCGGCTTGTATGAAAACTAACCACTCCAGCTCCTTTTCGCGAGCCCGGAGCCACAAGCCTGGAGCTGAATACCTGTCATCAGAATGGTAACTACTGGTCGCAATGGCTGGCCGGCTCATCGACAGTGATCGGCCATTCCTGGTAATTTTCTTCCATAGACGTCTCCAACAATTCCTGACTGTTATCTGGGATTGGTTCGATGACTGGCCAACAGATGACTGGCCACTGATTGTTGGCGATTTGCTTCCAGCTGTTTGGTGAAGAGCCGGAATGACGTTTGTTTGGCCATGGCCACGGCAGAGACGTCGTACGAACCACGACGTCTGTGGAAAATACGAACGGAAAAAGGATGACAGTCGTTCAGTAAATGAACGCTTTACTCGCAACCTTAAAGAGAAAAAAACATAATTTCTATAATTGTTGCTATAGACCCCTAATCCTGATGATTTGAAGAATATTGTCATGCTAATAGACACAGCAAAACAACTTTCACAACAACACAGCCTTGTTTCAAAGCGTAAACGATTAGACAGAATTTATACAGAATTCAATATCTCATAAAAGCGTAAACGATTAGACAGAAATAACGTTGCAAAGACTTCGCAACCAGCAAAGGTGGATAGTAACAAACATCTAATGATCTAACAACTCAGTATTCAACATCAGTACATCAGTAAAGCACGTTTACATCGTCGCTGCGACCACTGACTAGGAACCTAGGCATATTGTTGCACTATTTCGGGATCACACCGTCTCCGAAATACATATTGATATTAGTTGAAGGTGAAGTTACTCACCAGGAGTGCTTTGCAACTTTTTTTATACTTGGTCGGGCCGCTGGGTCCATGCTAAATAATTTTCTCATTAGGTCTTGCAAATCTACAGATAAAAAATTCGAATACAAAATCCTGGATGGCCTTGTCGTATATATGAGAAAAACGAAAAAACAACAAGCAAGATTTAAATATTCTTAGCAACAACGGTTGGTGTGATTGATATGCATTCCAACTTCAAAAGGGAATTCGGGAATATATGTATGAATGCTGATCTCTATATTTTCCGGCTTTCTCTAACCTGTTATAATTTCATGAATTTAACTCACCTTCAGATAAATCATCCAGTTTTGGCGGTCCTGATATAACATCTGCAAATGTTGTGTAATCCGTAAAAGCTAGGTTCGCCGTGCAACATTTCATATATCATGACTCCAATAGACCGCACAGCTTCCTTGCAAGGATCATACAATTCATGCAGAATGTATTCTGGAGGCATATTGTATGGAGTGCCTGAGGGAATAAAACATGTACAATGCAATTAACCAGTCTTTTTGAATGGAATAAAACTACTAAGCAATGACCGGAAAAGTTGAAATTTAAGAAAATGAGAAATATTACTGGGGTTGATAGTTTTACAACAGATTAAACCTGACTAAAATTAAAGCCAGTATTTTGAAACCTGAAAAAGTAAATTCTCACAGGTTCGATCAAGGATTTTTAACAATGTAGCTGATGAATTGCTACTTTGGAAGAGAAATTGGAAAGACAAATTTGTTTTATGATAACAAAATCTCACGCTAAAGGTGCATGGGAACGGAATTTGGTGATTAAAACTGAGACAACAAGATAACAACCTCGTACCCAGGTCTTTTTACCTCCGCTCCAAGGCCCACGCTGGTACGAGGTTGCAGAGGTAAATTATTCATGACATTCCAGGAAAGTTTACTCACCACAGAAAGCGTCAACTAGGTTGCCAGGTTTATTATAGCCCGCAAATCCAAAATCAAGCAACTTGATTTCACCAGTATCAAAATCATAAAGGATGTTCTCCAATTTCAGATCACGATGAACGATGTTCTTCTTGGACATCGCCAATACAACGTTGACCAACTTCTTCATGCATTGTTGAGTTTCATCCTCGGTGAAGAAACCTCCTACGTCCCACATGAGGCTTCGGAGATCTTTGCAATGAGTCGGTCTTTCGCAAATGATCACAAATTCCTCAGATGATAAAGACTGATAATGATAGAACTTGATGACATTTGGATGATCTTTCATCTTCTTCAGGAAATACACTTCACTTGGTACATCACCGAGGTCTTTATCCTGTTAAAGAACAATTGTAGGAGAATTCGATATCGTTGTTTAGCAAACGAATGACAATTGTTCGATAGGTGTCCTAGTACAGTACCCGCTTCTATCCGCTGTTTCAAAAGTGGAGGTGCACAATGCGAAAATGATTACTTTTCTTCATGCTACACAAATCTTTGATACGATCAAAGAACCATTGCTGATTTCACGAAATTTTAGGTAACTTAATTTAATTTTGAAATTCAGACTGGAAATTAGATACCTCTTTGATTCAAAATGGCAATTCAACGTCGTCATGAGTGCAAACGGCTAACAAAATTAATCATTTAATATGTTTGCAACACTCAATTTTCACGGACTGTAAGCTATATCATCTCCTATGCCCAAAACTTCAACCTCGTGGAGTTTCAACGACCTTACTGTTACTCACCTTGCGATACTCACGAACCGTTTTATACTTTACAAATTTCAGGGCGACCTAAGAGTAGAAAAAAATTAACCGCTTACATCGATGGTTTTCCTGAAAAATTCAACGGTATGGCTGACAACTAGTAAGATTTGGGCATTTTACTTCATCTCAGAAGCATGCAGGGCAATATGGCAAATAATGCCGAGGATTGTTTGTTTTTGGAAGGAGAGACATTTTGTAAGAATTACCGGTGTTTTTTTGGTTCCTTTTATGGCATAACCCTTGAAAACTCCACCAAAACCACCTTCGCCAATCAAGCCATTTTCGATATAGTAATAAATCACACCTGAAAGTCAAAAGCAATTGCTTGTTAATACAACTAAATAACTAAAGAAATATGTAAAGTAAAATGGATTTTAGAATAAAAAAACAAATGCTAAAAAAATAGGTTCGTGATTTCTATAACGTTAGAATCGACTTGCCTTTTGACTTGCAAACTTCAACAAGGTTTTCCCCATCGACAACTCTAGTGACGCGTGGCACATTTGAAGGTTGGGAAGGTTTGACTTGGCTTTCTTTCATGATTTTCCACTTGATGAGTTTTTCTTTCAAAATGTTACGCTTTCTCTTCACGTCATAGATGCTTAAAAATATGAATTGAAAAATTTTTTAATGGATCCAAATGAAGAGAGAAATGGGAATAATAGTTTACTGCTGAGATTAGGGACCTAAAGTGGACAAAAAAAGTGGACGAACGTTTATTTATATAGCTGTAATTGTGAGCGGATTAGAACTGCTCATATCGATTCACAAACAAAGCTATACATGTCTGTTAATGTAATTAATACTAAACTACAGACACCATACTAAATAAAAATTGTCCATCGTTTCATTAATTTCAGCAAATGGTTTCCAGTTAAAACATTAGCGAAATCAAATTAGTTTTTTGTTTTTTCCAGCATTTTAAAATAGCGGTGAGGTAGAAAACTGGGTAAGTTTTGCTGTATTATGAAATTAGACGATAGTTAAAAACTCAAAATTCTCAAATTTTCCAAAGCATAATCTCTACTTCAGATTTATTCAAACAACACGGGTTTTACAGAGTGTTGCATTAAAATTTCAAGCTATTTTAATAAATACAGCTGTTGTTAACTTGTTTGTTTATTTTACGGACTGCATGTAGCTACACCATCTTATTTTTCAATAAATACCGCGCCTACCTTTCATTTGTGCTATCTGGAACTGCAATTGAGCCAGATTGGAGCTAAAACATAAACAATATTATTATGGATTAATTTAAAGTTGACTTTAAAAAAAATTCATAGGCATTGTGATTATTCTGCTTCAATTTAATTGCATTGGTATCAAAATATGGTTGATCAAAAACTTGTGAAAGTCAAAAGTACTGAAGTTTGTCGATCTTTTAGTGCTATTATTCAGATAAAATTTATCTGCAAAAAGAGTTTTGGAATGTAAGCTGCTCATTTCTTACCATTTGTTGAGACGACTGTGAGGTTTGGAAGAGTTCACCGGCAGAATGTTGGCTTCGACTGCGTGTTAATGAAAATAAAGAATATTTAGTTGAAGAATGAAAGATGAAGAAGATGGGATGTAGAATTTTTTTACTACCTACTTGTCGGTACAAACATGAAGCTAGATGTTTGTCGACGTATTTATTAAAGGGTGATCAGAAATATTGCGTTAAAGATAGTTGCAAACAGGGGCGAGTTTTTTTATGAAAGCTGGCGAACACTTCGCAAGTACAAGATTAAGTCCAAAATAATAATGAATACCCCCCCCCCTAACTTAGCAATTTTTCGCGGCCCCTAGATACCCCCACTAAATTCGCCTTGGAAAACACATCATAAACTCTCCAACTACCACTTTATAGACTGAAATCGTAGAGAAATAAAATCTTACCAATCCCAGGAATACTCCATGTCAAAGAAGCGTAAAAACTGAAATAATAAATTTCAAACAAACACTGCATCAGTGGTGTCATATTCAGCCGAACGAGCAAATGTTAAGATAGCAATGTTAAGATTTATCAGTTTTAAAGTCTGGTTAAGTGGAGAGTTGAAACTGACTTCTCAAACTCAAACATGCCGGAAAGACGCGCCTTTGAGATAATAACATGCGTCATTTCAATATCTCATAACTACAACTTCCCAGAATACTCAAACACGGACTTTACAGCATTGATTAGGGTAATTTCCTTTGTTTCGAATCATAAATTATATTAATTAAGAATAATTTAGAATACAACCTAAAATTATCCAACTGTTTAGGAAATCAATATACGTGATAAAAAAGCAAACTTATTTTTAATTGATAATAAAAAATTCTTTACCTCAGAATATTCCGAGATTTGAGACGCGTTTACGTAATCAAATGAACACTGGACACTACCAGCACTAAAAACGATATTTTGTATTAATGTAGGGGACTTGAAGTGGTAAAAGTCTGTAACCTCACCAAATAAAAGAACAGGTTTATATATTCGGAAGGTAAATTAATTACGTTTATTTACGTCTTATATTACGTAATATATTAAGTTTTACTCATGCATCCCAAATTCAAGCCAGGAATAGTCGAGAAAAAAGTTGTCAGGTATCGTTGCCTAGTTAGAATTCAAACCTACGCCTTTGCGATGCCGACATTACCATCGTAAATACACACTAACAACGTTAGCTCCTATGAGCTACCCGTGTAGCTCAATAGCAAAATCATTGCACCGGCGCATCATAAAGGAGAAGGTTTGATTTCTGCCGAAGGCCACTTCTCACAGGTATCAGAAAGTTTGCTAAATTTTTTTTCCTACTGACACTAGAACAAATTCCACATAAACTTAACATCTCCCCATTGCGTTGAAAGATGAGGTTAGCTAAATGAGTAAGAAGCGCTTGTATGGTTTGTCGTGACGCAAGGAATACCTTTTTATTATTATACTTTATAATAAAATATTACGTATTATTATCATCGTTATCTTTTCGTATCACAGATGAATAATATTTGCCCAAAATGAAGACAAACACGTGTCAATATAATAAAACATCCTTATGTTATAGCTAGACGCAATGTAAAAAGATCATACCTCAGAGATCTCTCAAACGTTTCTTCTTCAAACGAAAATACTGATTCCTCCTGTGAAAATTAGAACGTTTATAAGCTTAATAAAGTATTGCTTTAATTCCCGATTTCCAATTCATTCTTAAAATCACAGAACCGTCCACAAAAGAAAATAACTAATTCATACCTGATAGGAGATCCGAGAATCATTAGAATTCATATTCCTGGACAGAGGGGAAAGAAAAAATGCATGAATAATGTTAAAAAGTTTTAAACAAAAATTCCCTTAAAGATCGAAGCGCAGTCTTAAACGTTTAGAGAGTGAGAAACACGCAGAACGCAATTCTAGGCCATTCATACGCTTAAATATGAAGATGTTACACAAAAATTCTTATTACAAAGCCGTATACAAAATGTATGAGAGAATTTTTAAACTTTGGCTTATTCATGCACCGTTTAAGCTAAACGCTTTTCGAACAACCGCTCCCAGAAAGTTTGCCAAATTTTTTGTCCTACTGACACAAGAAAAATTCCATATAAACTTAACATCTCCCCCTTGCGTTGAAAGATGAGGGTAGCTAAATGGGTAAGAAGCACTTGTATGGTTT